ATATTACGATTTGGCATAAAACGGTCCATCCGCATGCGCAGACCTTAAAAAATGGTCCATGCGCATGCGGGGGTCAGTCCATGCGCATGCGCAGGCCTTATAAACCGAAAATCGAGGATATAGCTTTTGTCGATTTGACTCGCTCGATTGGCTTTGCACGACGTATCAGAGTGAACAGGCTTTTCTGATGCATTTCTGAAGAACTGGTTGACGCTTCTTGTGTGCAAGGCTCCTTCTTCGTCTTCGACTGTATAAAGTCGGGCTATGTAAGGTGTATGTAAGGTGTTTGTTTTTCACTCGACGCAGCTCACAGTTAAGTGTACAACTCGCCGCTTTCACTTGCGAGTACGTGAAGCGCCATTTCACGAGGTCGCGTGTAACCAATATGAAAAAACATATTGAGTCGCCACGTAGAAGTATTACTCACACATGTGACTCATGTGGAAAGACATTCGCACGTAAGTCCAATCTCGAAAACCACATCGATTTTGTGCACAAAAATCTCAAGCATCATAAGTGTGATAAATGTCCAAAGTCATTCAGTTGTAAAAGTAAACTCAATCGTGAGTGGGGTACATGATGGAATAACTTATGCATGCGATTTTTGTGACAAAAAATTCCGACATAAGGATGGTGTAAAGGTCCACGTCGATAGTGTACACAAATTAGGTAAAATATACCCATGCGATTTGTGTGAAAAAATATTCAGACGAAAGGATTGTTTGAAACTTCATATCAATACGATACATAAAGGTATCACTCAAACATGAGATTAATGATGATTATTAATGATTATGATTAATTATTAATAATTAGCAATCGATTATATGCTGCACGTGACAGCAGTTCATTAAGAATAATTTTTTTTAAATAATAATTTTTTTTTTGAAAACGAATTTTTTTAGAAAATAATTTTTATAATTTTTTTTGTACTTTGCCGGTTACGTGAAAATAGTTTTTTATATAAATCCGATGTAAGGCCGATTTTACTACAGGCCTTTGTTATATGGTATAAACATATGGCATTTCACGTCAACTCTCCCAGTGCCGCGCGGCGTGGCAGAATTAAGCCAAATCACTAAATTTGTGAATCGCTGTAAAAGTACTCAAATGCACTTAGAGAAAAAAACGAACTAATGATTTCGATCGGAAATCGCCTTAGCTTTCCGATGGTGAGATCAGATTTTCCGAAATTTTGCGCTTTACCCGGGAAAATCGCTGGGAAAACTTTAAAGTCGATTATATCAAAAACTTCATTTTTAAGATTTTTTTAAATAGTCTAGATCGAAAGATCAGGAAATTTTCCATCGATATAGACATTTTCAAGAGAGGCATTTTTTTATTTTAGCGAGATCTAGCGAGAGAAAGAAGAAAAAACGTGGTTTTTTGTTCGGTTGGTGGCGTCCGACCGCCCGCGCGCGAGAAAAAACCACGTTTTTTCTTCTTTCTCTCGCTATATCTCGCTAAAATCAAAAAACGCCTCTCTTGAAAATGTCTATATCGATGGAAAATTTCCTGATCTTTCGATCTAGACTATTTAAAAAAATCTTAAAAATGAAGTTTTTGATATAATCGACTTTAAAGTTTTCCCAGCGATTTTCCCGGGTAAAGCGGAAAATTTCGGCAAATCTGATCCCACCATCGGAAAGCTGAGGCGATTTCCAATCGAAATCATTAGTTCGTTTTTTTCTCTAAGTGCATTTGAGTACTTTTACAGCGATTCACAAATTTAGTGATTTGGCTTAATTCTGCCGCGTCGCGCGGCACTGGGAGAGTTGACGTGAAATGCCACATATTTGTTGTTAAATTCCGTGCATAATGGTATGACTCACCCATAAGGTTAATGTGAAAAGTCATTTACACACAGAAACATCCTTTTTTTTTTTGAAAATAATTTTTTTTTTTAAACAATTTTTTTTTTGAAAGTGTATTTTATAATTCTTTTTTGTACTTTACCGGTCAGGTGTTCCGCAACTCTTGATACGCGAGAATAGTCTCTCATATAAATTCAATGTAAGGCCGATTTTATTACAGGCCTTTGTTATTTGGAATAAACATATTTGTTGTTAAATATGTTAACATATTGTTAACATATTGTTATGAAATAAACAATTTAAAAAATCCTTGTAATTTGATGAATAATGCAAACAAATATATGTATCAAGTGTAATGACAGACATTCAAATAAACGTATTTATTTAAATAAAACGTGTTAAAGATGTGCACAATTCATTAAAAAAAATAGTACACATATCATGAATCACGAATTTTTTTACATCACAGAATTTTTAAAATGTATTAATTATATGATGAGTTGTATGATGTCCTCACACACATCAAACTTTTTTAATTCTTGTAAGTTTATAATAAGACGTCCTCGTTTCCACGTCAAGCCGTCATAATCACGCCAGTGTGCTAACACAATGTCATCTGGGATAATAATTTTGGCTTATCAACATTAAAATTTCAAGATTGAGAGGAATTGGAAGAATGTCATTCATTTTTCGCAAAAATACGAATGATACAGCGAACTTTCATATATTTATCTTCGCAATTGTGATTGCAACTTAATTTTGCGAATTTCATAGTTTTTGCGTCCTTCTCTCATGTACATTATAATATATTTTTGCCATTGATGATATTACATACGATCTATATTACATATGACTATTTTACCTACGTAAGATTTAGCACGGGATTAGCTCTGCTCTCGTTAATAAATGTACGAGATACGAGACATCGATTCAAGGATCGAGCGGCCGAAGGACGCTCGCGTGTGTATGATATACATATATATATATATCGTCGTACCGCCGCGCGTCGCAAGCTCCGAAAGCTCGACACTCCGCTCCGGATCGAATTCATATAGCTCTCCCTCGCCGCCGCCACTGCAGCGTAAGCAAGAAACGACGCAGAAAGCTGCTGCTGCTGCTGCTGCTGATAATGATACCATCACAAAGGAGCTCGCTTGTTTACTTCCGACATGCGTCGATCATAACGTATACATCAGCGTTTGAGCTTTTTCCGTATTTTTGAGATAAAATTGATTGCCTTTGCTACTCAAGCTTATATAGGCTTATACGAAGTATGCACATCTTTCGTCGCGAACCCCATACAACGTGTCCCCTCGCGAATCGATTCGGGAGTCATGCTATATGCCTATATACCTGCTACTGAACTAGACGTACTCTCTATCTCTCATCAAGCTTTATACGCACCATTGCATTATACAGCACGAGGCAGCTTTTTCTCGCGTCGTATGCGCGCGCGACTTTAATATAAAAATAAGAAGCCCACGCATCGCTCACACAACGGTCGAATCGCGCCTATATCCACGCGCGCTATGCATATCGTTCAGCGTTGCTAAAACGACCTCGTTGAAGTGCTGCTGCGGCCGTCGTGCGTATATTAGAGCGAAATTCGCGTTCGCACGCACTCGCCGTGTGGCGCATGCAGAGAGCGCGAATGAGTATCAAGAGAGAGAGGCTATATAGCTGTCACTGTATACACCGTAAGACAGTTTATGTGTATATGTATGCGAGTGTGTCTCGACGGTCCACAATCGAGTATATGTATAGACGACGATCGCGAGTCGCACAGTGTTTATGTGTATATACGCGTATGCATTAGAGGCCTATTATACTGCATTGTTATATACGCCGCCAACAGCAGCAGCCAACGCACCGCACCGCCACCGTCAGCTATACACATCAGTCGTCGCTGCACAGCTGCTGCTGCTGCCTCGTGAATCGTGGACTTGGTGCTAGCAACTTGTGCTGACGACATATACACGATACATACTTACACCCGTATACATAATTACTCAAACATAGAGAGAGACAGAGTCGAAGAAGAAAGTTTGCTGCCTGCTGTCAAGTGCACTGCACAAGGCACACGGGGCGAGCATTATTATACGAGCGAGCCTCTGCCGCGCGCGACTCTCGGACTCTTATTGTCGTCGTAGACTCGTAGTATTGTAACTGCGAGTGTGTATCGTGTGTGTGTGTGTATGCGCGTGTGTTTGTGTGCTGCGGACTCTATCGAATCGCAATAGTGCGCGTTCGTTGCAGCAGACATTGATACACAAAGTTGTGCGCTGAGATTGGCAGTGTTTGTGCGTGCGTTGGTGCGAGCGAGTGTGTTGTTGCCGTTTTACAACGCGCAAAACGTGAAACACCAGCAGTAGCAGCGGCCTATTACTCGGGCAGAGTCTCGTCTCTTCGTGGGCCACATTCTAAACGTTATAACTCCTCGGCAGAGAGACAGCATCGTCACCTCATATATATCAACGTCGTTGTCACCAGCGATACACCAGCTCCAGCGGTGCACTGCTGCTGCTGCTGCTGCTCCGTTATCCTCGGGCTGTTCATTTAGACACGTCTGTAGTATATAGCTCGCGCAGCAGGCACTGTTGTCGTCGTCGTCGTCGTCGTTGGTCGGATTCGTGCGGGCGCCAGCCGTGGAATATCTCCATAATTGACAACGCACGACGTCGAGTGCGGCCCGAGCGCCGAGCTAACTCACGGTCTATATGAACACCAAGGGTCAGAGCGACCCTGGAGAATCCAGGTAAATAACAACATCAAAACACAAGCTATATAGGTTAGGGAGTTATTGTGTGTATTCCGTGCGCGACGACGAGCTATCATAACATGAAACGCGCCTCGGCGTTATCCGCATAGATAACTGCTACTGCTAATTTTCGCCTCTCGTGTGCGCTTTGTTGTAACGCTGATATACATATATTCCGCAATGTCTTATATTTTTAGTATAGTCGGTCTCTCTTTCATTCTCGGTCGTCTCGCGTTCAACGACATATCGCTGTCGCCCGTCGGTCTCTGTGTGTGTGTGTTTTACCTTGCGCGGCACCGATGAAATGTTCTTTTTTTAAACCTTATATTTTGCTTCGTTCATTGCTATATATCTCTCTCTCTCGAACGCACACGCACTTATACACACGCAATCCCTCTCTTTTGCGATGCGCGCGATTACTATATAATAGAGAAAAATACATAGTAACGTTGCGCTGCGTTGCATATAAATGACGTTCGAAATTCTCATCGAAAAAAGTGCTCTCCTTACTCGGTACTGATTCTCGACGAACAGATACGAGCCACGGTTAGGGGGTATTAATACATTTTACAAAAAAAAATGACCAACGTTGCACTTCGTTGTACGTTGTGTTGTGTTGCTTCCTTTTAACCCGCGACGACGACGACGACGACGACGACGACGTCTATATAGGTATATAATGCAGGTACAACGTCATGGTCGCGAAGTTACGCCTTTGCAGTGCGCCTATAGCTGCATTCTGCTTGCTTCACTTCGCTCTCGCTCTGTGCTGCTGCTCTGTTTTGTGTGTGTGCGTGTGCGCGTTTTATTAAAAGGACTCCGAGAGAGCTGTGCTCGTCGTCGTCGTGTATCTCGGAGGATAGGTAATGAAAAGTTCCGAAGAATTGAGAGAATCGCAGCACTCGTTTCAATCATCGCTTTATTTTCTGCCTTTTTTAATCGCGTCTGCTTCGCGTTGCTGTCAGTTGCTGTGACTTGTGTGTACATTATCGTCGTTATATAGTATACCTATATATTTGCGTCGTGCAGTTTATATATAGTACATCAGCTTTCTCTGATTCGCTTCTTTGTCTCTCTCGTTCTCGCTCTCTCTCTCTCTCTCTCTCTCTCTCTCTCTCTCTCTCTCTCTCTATCTTTACGTATGCACGTTTCCTCGTTTTTAAGCTCGCGTGTGCTTGGATTTTTCAAACGTCGTTACTTTTTTTTTGGCTTTTTTAATGTAGCGCTTATACGAGCATCGTCGCGAGGAACTGTGCCAAAATATTGTTTTGTCGGGAAACGATACTTCTCTTTGTTACTTTCGCCGAGGTTGCCATACACATGATATAGACATATAATAAATATACACTCGACTCTCGGTCGCCTCGCGGAAAAGCGCGTCGTGCGATCATCAGTGTGTTTGACGTTTCGTGCTCGATAAAACTACTGATTTTTCATTTCTCTTCTGTCTTCGATATGCGCAGGGTAGGAGCAGAGAGCCCTTGCAGCGACATGAAGCGAACTGCTGCCAAGAAGTTGATCGAGCGATATTTCTTCCAGCTGATCGATGGCTGCGGCAACAGAAACTGCGACAATCAGTACTGTGCTTCTAGTGGCAAGGTAACTGGCCTTCTTGCGATTCATTAATGATTCGAATGATCTTCAACTCTGTGCCTTTTCTCTTTCAGTTGACAAATCTCACGGCTAACGAAGCGGCCGCACAGGCCATCAACCTTTTCTCACAAGATGCGAGGTTGTGCGACGGTGCTCAACCCAGCAAAGTACCCAGAACAGCTTTGGATTTGGACTTGGAGCCTGGGCCAGCATCCGTAGCCAAAAGCTTACCCAACAAAAATGTCAATCCAACATGCTCTGTCAAAGGTACATACTCTCGTCGATCAATCAATAACATGCATGAGCTCTATTTCTAACTATCTAATACATCTGTTACGTATTAGCAGATTCGTGTATAAAGCATGAAATGAATGATAACATTTTAACAGAGGACATAAGCCAAGTAGACTTGCCGGTTGATTATAATAGCGAATCTGATGACAAAAGTATAATTATTGATTTTGTTAAATCAATCACTGAAAGTTTGTTACCTCCCCTTGTATTATTGTAAAACATTATTTTGAATATTTTATGAACCAAAGTGTCATTCGTTTATTTTAGATATTCATAAAGCATGTAAAGTTAAAGGAAAACGGTCTAGGAAATCAAATATTGCGGCTAAAAAGAATAAAAAAAAATCAAGTGGATCACAAAAACCACTGAAAGATTCTGAAAATTCGGATAGCAACTTGCTAATTAATAAATTAATTGTTTTGGCTTTGTATTTAAGATATGTCGATGCTAAAAATTTTATCAGTGAATCTAAGGCTACATAAAATTTCTGACTGATGAATTATTCAAATTACTACTTTGAATTACTTCCTATCTCGTTGTAGTTAATCACTTTTATAAATAAATCCATGATAACTTTCGTACAATAGTTATGTTCTTGTTTTAAAAATTTGAATTTTTATCTGCATAGGAAAATCAGTGCCATATCTCACAGAAGGCAAACTTTTGGATATCATTCAAAAATGTAAATCTGAAGGTTCTTATTCACTCCTCATCAGAACTCTGGGAGAGGTTTTTTCATCAGCGCAAGCTTTAGCTCAAAGTTTCCAAAAAACGCCGAAAAATGACTCACCACTAACAGCTCTGCTCGATAGAGCACCAACTTCTTTGCTATGTCCTCCAGGAGATATGAGCAAAGAAACAGTTCGATCATTACAAGGAGAGGATAAAGAAGAAGATAGTAGCGACCCATCACCATCAACACCTCTATTTGATGACACAAGTGTAGATTTACCAGCAGTACGCAGAAGTTTTGCTGCACTTTGGTCTCTGCCAGGTATAATAATAAAGTATTATAATATTTTGCATGGAACTAAAAGTTGGTAAAACCATTTGAGCGCTATTGCTGTACAGTTAAAAGTATAAAAATCATTAGACAGCGCATGAAACTGGTATCACCAACTATTGCTTATGCAAGTAACATTACTCCGCAGAAGTGAATATTAATTCATGCATTTTTTTGTTTTAGGAGAAGCATTTGAATCAGCTTTAATAAATGCTCTAGTCACATTGTCTGATTATATAGAATTAGATCTGCGAGTTTTTGGTATTAATTCAGCAGACAGTACAGACAGCCTTCTAAATGTATTTCTTATAGTGTTTGAAATTCCGGTATTAGGAAGTGGAGAATATTTGGAAATGGCCCTACACATGCTTTGTAAAGCTGCTAGTTGTTTGCCTATTTCAGCACAAGCAAAGCTAGCTCGAGTCTGGGCTCGTCATTGTAAATCTCGACTAGCCGATTTACTTCAATCTTTGCAACAACTTATTACTGTTAAGGTATGCAATGTGCTAAAATACATATTTCCAAATAAATGTTCAATTTTGATTACAAATTGAAAACCGCAACTTATAATCAATTTCAGGTCATAGGAAACACTTTTACTCGCGATTATTGCGTACAAGACTGTGACACTATAACAGCACCAACAAAAGTAATGAAAATTTTATACTATGCTAGTATTTTAGCCGGTGAACTGGATTCACTTGACTTGACCTATGATGAAGATGATGAACCGGTTGATAAAAGTTCGGTAAAGGTTCAAACGCCCCAGGTACGATTTTTGCAACCAACGAAATATTCATTTTTAGATTAGAACTCAATGTTTTCTTTTTTTTTTTAAAGGACCCATTAGCTGTTGAGTTGGGAATCTCGCCAATGGATGCTCGTACTCCCCTGATACCTTTAACTGATTTTTACAATGAGCCGTTGAGTGATGCTGTTGAAATGGACAAAGATTATGCATATTATAAAAGTGAACAGCCAAAGAAGTTTAGCTTTATGAATTACTCCTTTATACTTACTCCGGCAACAAAAACGTTAGGACTGTACTATGATAATCGTATTAGAATGTACAGTGAACGTAGAATGAGCTTTTTGCAAACTGTTGTTGGTCAACCCACAAATCCCTACCTCAGATTGAAGGTACTGTATTTCTGTGACCTTCAAGAAGATTGATTACACTATTCTTTTATTGAAATACGTAAAAATTCTAGGTCCGGCGTGATCATCTAATCGAGGATGCTTTAGTAGAATTAGAAGTTGTAGCGATGGATAATCCGTACGACCTTAAAAAACAATTAGTTGTAGAATTTGAAGGGGAACAAGGAGTAGATGAAGGAGGAGTTTCAAAGGAGTTTTTCCAATTAGTTGTAGAAGAAATTTTTAATCCTGATTATGGAATGTTTACGACTCAGGTAAAAATTAGTTGAAATATTTTTATTTCAACCAAGCCTCAAACTTTAAGCAAGTCAATTTTATAATTTGATTCTTTCTGCAGGAAGATACACAAACAATGTGGTTTAATCCGACATCTTTCGAAAGTGATGCTCAATTTACCCTTATTGGTGTTGTACTGGGTTTGGCTATTTATAATAACGTGATTTTGGATGTACGCTTTCCCATGGTTGTTTATCGTAAATTACTGGGAAGAAAAGGCAGTTATGCCGATCTAAAAGATTGGAATCCCACACTGTATCGAACGTTATTGGACATGTTGAATTACAAGGAGGACGATATCAGTGACACATTTATGCAGACATTCAGAATTGGTTACACGTTAGTTCATCTTAACAATTGTACACTTTTTAACAATATTGATTTGAGTAATTTTATATAATTGATTTATTTCCAGTGATGTCTTTGGATCACTTCTATTCCACGACCTAAAAGAAAAAGGAGACGAAATAAATGTGACCCAAGCAAATAAGAAAGAATTCGTCGACCTATATGCCGATTTTTTGCTGAATAAATCGGTCGATAGGCAGTTCAAAGCTTTCAAACGCGGTTTCCAAATGGTCACCGACGAAAGCCCCTTGTCTCTGTTATTCAGACCCGAAGAAATAGAACAACTGGTTTGTGGAAGTAAAGTTTTCGACTTTACTGAATTGGAAGCAGCCACGGAATACGATGGTGGTTATACTGCTGAAAGCGACACGATACGCAACTTTTGGACCGTGGCTCATGCTCTATCAGCAGAAAACCAGAGAAGACTTTTACAGTTCACAACAGGCAGTGATCGTGTACCGGTCGGTGGATTATCGCGGCTGAAACTGGTCATTGCTCGTCACGGAGAAGATACCGACAGGTTATTTAAATTCTTATAACATATTTCTTGTTCGCAATACGAAAAAAATTATTTAATATATCATTCTTGTACCTTACAGATTACCTATAGCTCATACGTGCTTCAATGTGTTATTGTTACCAGACTATTGTACATTAGAAAAATTGCAAGACAGACTACTAAAAGCCATAAATTATTCAAAAGGATTTGGCATGCTGTAGACATTTCGAAAAACGCTCTTCTTTTATGACATCATTCATCTAAAGCAGACATTCGCTTAGTTTTAGAGTTTCATTTACAATAAATGTCCTAAGATTCAAGTTCATGCAAGTACTTTTATGAATGGAGATAAATGGTTTTGTCATTGATGTTGATACCAGTTAAAAAAAAACTGATGATTCCATTTATCTATGTATTTTTGTTAATAATTAGTAAATATGTTTGACAAATTTCTTTTTGTAATATATGAAAAACATGAAAACTAAATCGGTGAGTAATCTTGTGGATATAAAGTGCAAATTGCAGTCCAGGAACTGAACGTTTTAAGTGGCAATCTAAGGATAAATAAGCTGTGTACAGAATTTTTTTCATAAACAAAATCTTTTGAAAACATTTTATTGGAGAAGAGTTACTTTTTTAGAACTTTCAATACTTGTATTGTCCAACATTCCTACCATCCTTCTATCAACACTATTTTTTAGGTGACGGGTCAAATAATGACAACTTCTAGTATACCAGCATTATGACTTTTCACTCACTCAACCTGTTATTTTTTTAACTTCAACTGATTTACTGGAAAGACAAAAATTCAATAAAGTAATTAAGCTAGTATTCATGATGTCAGAATTATGAAGAGTTAAGAAATTTTCATTTAATTGAACAAGTCAAGGTTTACTTTAAAAATCTAATACTTTATTTACTATTACACTTTATTTTTTAATACTTTATTTTTTAAAAAACTTCTTTAGTACTACCACAGGTTCAGTTCAATAATACAAAAAAGTTTAAATAAAATTGTCAAAATTTTTATTTATTCATGATTTCACAGAGCTTTTAGTCTATTACTTATCAATTTCCTAATACTCGACATTGGTAGCAGCATAAAAATGTAGCAACATCTACGCTTGACACAAATTTGTACTGAAGAAAGTTACTTCTCAAGTGTCATAAATGTTGCATTTGATAAAATGATCAAAAAATCTGTTCCTCATTACTAAATATAATGAGTTACATTACATCAAGTCTTACAACTAGTGGACGGTAATTTACCTTGTATTATAATAATAATTTCCAAACAAAGTTGGAATGGACGGTTGGTCTAATGGACGGATTTAGTTCAATCATTTAGCATTAGTTTTTAAGCAAAAAATTTGCTTGCGATAACTGCCACAACAAGGAATACGGACAAGGTAGTACTTGTTGCACTATTACACCGATGATCAAAAGAGCAGAAGCACCATGTTACTTCATCGTAATAGTCTCTATGAATATCCAATTGATGAATTGAGTTATTAACGTAGTGACCCAGCCTAATATCTTTGGCTGCTGGTCTGCATCCTTCGTACTTATCGGCTGGAATATCTGTTCTGAATCCTCGAAGAGCACTCAAACACTCTCTTGTTATGACAGTTTCAGCTAAAGTAATTCATTATCGTAAGTTGCTTGCTTGGATTATTAGTATTAATAGAAAAACATTTATTCGTACCTCCTTTTCTTTCAATAACTTTTACACACTTGTCATCGTATTCAGGACATGTTTCACCCCAGTGCCAGAGCCAATTGAATGGAGTTCCACAACCAGGTTTATTACTGTTGCATCGATAACAGTAAATGGTTGATTCCCCTGAAAAAAATCCCCCATGAATCATGAATCGCAATCGTTGTCACGAATGATAACAAAATCTTGCTCCAAAGCGAGAGGACTCGCTTGTTTAGACGAACGTCAACCACGCCCCCGTTAATGGAAGCTTGGTTATGTGCAAGCGATTGTTTACCATTTTCCAAGCAACTTACCCAGACTCGCGAAAACTGCTAAAAAAACAAAAGCGATCAGCAGTGGCTTCGTCATTTTTCTCGAGGTAAGACTTCTTTCTCACCGATACCGAAGAATCAAAAAGTCGCGAGTTTTACGCAAAACACCAATTCTCGTCACTGCTTAATTACAAGTTAATAACGTAACGTCGTATATATAATATAAAAAGTTGGGCAGGACACACGAGGTTACGGGGCAGTAACTTTTCTGCGCGTTAAAGAAGAAGCTCCGATTTCGTTCGAGTATATATAAAACAAAAAAACATGTACGTTTGTTTACACGAAAGTAGCACTCGAGTTTGATTGTAACTTTTGAAATTGGTCAATCGAACGTTTGGTGCGCAGCCGAGTGGACGTGCCGCTCCGTACTGGTCAGCAGGCACAAGGCAGGTACCGATATTATACCTATATATTATATAGTGTAGATCTGTGTGTACAGTGTGAAGATCTTAGAGCATTATAGTGAGAGTTAACGTGCGCGCGTGAAGTGTGTGAACTAAGGCAGAGATCGTGAAGTTTTTTTTTCTATTAAAAATCAAGTGAATCGAGCCGTGTGTGTGCACCTGTGATCGAGACATCAGCTATATATACAGCCGAGGGATTATCTCAGCAGGTAACGTATTATAAGTATACAATATATAATCGAAGACGAAGATCTGTATATCATAACGTAATGCATATGCGATCGGCTGTGAAAAACGATTTGTCACACCGGTTTTATACACTATCAATTACGAAATACGTCGTCGGTTGCGCCCGCATGTGCTCGTTGAGAAAAAAAAAATCACGGAATCTTTAAATATGTTTGAATACGAATGGCAGTCTAGTATCGTATACCCGCGTATACTACTCTATAGGCCTGAGAATGATTCTCGCGTATAACAGGGATATTTAGAAATCGCCGAGATACGAAATTCGATTTCTTCTTTATTTTGACTGGAACACGAACCTGCATAATATACACATCGCCGCGCCGTATTTATATTTCGAGATGAGTTTCCGAAACGCCCGATCTCTCACGCAAGCGCGTGAAATCCTTCGAGTACACCAAGTTATTTTTGAAGTTCCTTGCACTCGGTCGAAGCGTGCCTGCCCCCCTCCCCCCTGTTCCGCACGAGCGGAAAAAAAATCGGGCGTACCTCGGCCGGGGAAAAACAAATAAATGCATCCTATAATCGAGTCGCGCAACTTTATACGACGCAGTGATTGTGTTTTGTGTAAGTTATAATGCGCAAGGTACACAACGCAGTTCTGCGGAAATCGCGCGGCTGCACACGTGCGGTGCACACATCTCGCATCGACGACGCACAGCTGGGTAAACGCCGAAAATGCCTGACGAAATGCACATATATAACGGGTTTACGCCGAAAAATCAACGCGGAAATTTTCGCTCGATCGGCGAATTTATACTGTGTTTATTATTGCCATCGATGATCATCGGCTCGAGAGTTGCTGCGAGCTTATCGTAACGCATAGCGTATAAATCGACGAGTCACACGCAGACATTTCTCAATAGAGAAGTGAGAGACGAATTTCACGATTAAAAAATCGGCGTGTGTCGTGTCCTTGCACCGCAGAATGACATGCATAAATATATATAAAACGAAAGGACGCGTAATAAGCGGCCAGGAATCTCCGTCTCTCGCTCTCGGTCTTGATATTATTAGTCGTCGACGTTTTCCGTGTGTGTTATAATACGAAAGAGCGAGAGACGCCTCGACCGCGAAGTCGCAAGAATTTACCGGAGCCTCGAGCGTTATTATATATATAAAAAAACATTTACTCTTTCTCTCTCTCTCTCTCTCTCTCTCTCTCTGTCTTCGGCCAAGTGCAGCTAAGCAATTTGCCGCGCAGCGAGCGCGTATCGCTGCTGTGTGCACTCTCATGCTGCACAGCCAAGAGAAGAGACTCGCGAGAATCAAGAGGCAGCAGTGTGTGCGGCTCGAGCAGTGCTGCTAGTAATCGCGACGGCGATTCGCACGAAGTACGAAATACATACAAGTATACGCGAGGCGCTTCGATCGTGTCGAGTCTCGAGACAGACTCTCTCTCCTCTCTCTACTCCGTTCCTCCGGCGAATCTCGTACGTTCGTTTGTAACAGGTGGTTCGCTATGGTTGGCTGATTTTTGCGTGGTGAGGGTTAACTTGCCTCTCTCTCTCTCTAACTCATTATATCCTTATACATACATACATACATGCGTGTGTGTCGGTCTGCAGACCAGAGAAATGTCGGGGGCACATTGCTGTAATGGCTTTTTTGCAATTGTGTGCGTGTGGAGTTGCTGCAAGTATATACCGAGTAGCACGCCGGTATATAAGCCGGCACGAAAGAGAGAGAGAGAGTCGAGAGCGCATATTATAATCCGCCGGTGCACTGCAGACTCCCGATTATTATGCGACTGTGTTTCTATCGCTCGAAATTTGCAATTTGTATTTTTTTTTATACGCGATGTAAAAATATAATACTCGAACGCTTGGAAAACGTTTCCCTTCCATAAAGTTCATGTTTTCATTGACGAGATCGATCCTTCGCTCAGACAGACGATCGTCGTCGCGGTTAGTGCTTTCTCCGCGCTCGGACGGTGTCCTGCATCAGTTCTCTTTTCCTCCCCTCTTCCCCCTCCTTGTATATTACGGTTTCGTCGCTCTCGTGCTCCTTTCTGCGGGCTCTCTCTCTCTCTCTCTCACGAATGAATACCCATGCCATACATCATAAAAACTCGCGTTGCCATTACATTGATACAACAATACTCTTCTGTAATATCATTTCGTAAATTACAATACGTTCGCTGCGTCTGTTACAAGAATGTACTTATATATATGCGACGAACGACGGCGGCCAGCAGCTCTGCGCCGTGCTCGCGCGCCGCCACCGCCGTTTTTGCAGCAGTAGCAGCAGCAGCAGTCAGCACGCCCAACGAGCGGCTTGCTGCTGCATGGGGGGCTCTCTCCTATGCCGCTGCACGGCTGCGATGCTTCGGCAGTGTGCTCGAGACCGATAGCACGTGCGCTTGGGAGACGACGACAACGACGACTGTAATAGATATACATACGCATACAACCAAAAGTTCACCATATATATAATAACCGACGACTGGACGTTTACACGACTGAATAATAACAACAATAATAAATTTAAATAATAACAACAAAAACCGACGCTACACGCACATCGGGCATACCGACACACTGAAACAAACACACAAACACACACTTATATTCGAGCTTATCGCAACAGCAGCCTATAAGCGGCAATCGTGCGAATCGCTAACATTAATACACACACACATACACACACATTTCTCTCTCGCGCCGAACCAACACACACAGAAGTCCGCGAAAGCTGAGAGACGCGCGCGCATGTGTTGTCCTCGTGCTGCTCCGCACACTCGCTCCTAACTAAACTAACATATTATTTACAATACAAGCGACAAAGCGACGGCTATCCTGCAGTATCGGTGCATTATTACACGCGTGTGTCGACTGACTCCGTGTGTACGTGTGTCGTGCGTGTCCGCCTTATCACATCGGTGCGATCATCTGCATCCTGCAGCAGCAGCCGTTTAGCCCACTGTGTGTACCGCGCGTGTGTGTGTGTGCGTATTATAATTGAGTCACCGGTGCCTCGCGTGTGTTCGAATGATATACACACGTTACGAAATAAACATTGTGACTGATCTATGAAATTGTGTTGGTGCTACTACATCGGAGTATCTCGACAACTGCAGTAATAAAAAAAGGTGCAGAATACTGTACACGATCACGGGCGCGGGCAACCCACACACACTCGCGAGTCACACCAACGAATACCTCTCTACTACCAGTCGCCGCTCGCGCGCGTGCACAGTGCAGCGCAGCAGCGATTCGCATTCGCTCGCTTTTAACCTATGCTCCGAGGCGGCGAAGCTCCCTCGGCTGCAGCAGCGGCGACGAGCCATATGTAAGTCGAGTGCGCCAGCGAGCCAGACGACTGCAGCAGCAGCAGCAACGAAGACACGTTATAATACGGACAGACAGACTGCAGACGCGGGTCGAGCTAGCTGCTGGGGCCTTCGCTTTTCTCTCAAGTGTAACATATTGTTTTTTTGTGCTTCGAATTTGTTGTCTGCCGCTGGCAGCCCCCGAATCGAATTGGTTCGGCGTTGGTTCGTTCTCGACGCTACGGTCATGCTGCTTCCTCGTCGCCGCTAAGCGTGCCCGGTGTTTAGCTTGCGATCTCATCTGGACAACGACGATGATTCCGTTGACCGACCTGTGAGAGAGGGTGTATCACGAGCAAGACGCATACACGGCTGATAACAATACAACCCACGTTTATGTGCGTACTCCATTACTTACATATAAATATAGCATATATAACATTGATGTGTGTATCCGTACATTTTAAACCGAATATTTTCCGTCTGCTGCCTCGTACAATATTGCTTCTTCAGTCTCGCCATGCTTGTCTCTCTCATTTGTGTGTGTGTGTATGCGTGCCTATATACGCGAGCTTCTTGCTCGCTCGCGCCCGACTCTCGGGGCTCCTATATGTTTTTCTGAATGTTTATAAATAGACACACGCTCGCGCCCATGCCGTATCAATTTACAAATTACTCTCTCTCTCGGTACCGGGCTACCGTTTTTCCCCTCTCGATATTTCGAACGCAAGGCCTCGCGTTCGAGCGCCAAAGATTGGGCGTACTTTTTTTTTGTAGCGGAGCAATCGCGTCCTCTACCGTATGCTCGCGGTTCGGTGTTTTTTAGGGGTACATACCACAAATTTAGTATCGGTCCCTTATATTAAAATTACAATATGTGTAAGCAGCAGCAGCAGCAGACGCACGCCGCGCGACCGACCGAGTGTGTGTGTGCGTTTGAATTTTTCGGACACGCCCAAGTTGACCACCGGCCCACCGAAAATACATGCATACATATTGGGAAGTCACGGTGTTTGAAATATCATAATATTAAAGCGACAGGAGAGTGTTTACTTTTGACCGGCTGTGATGATGATGATGATGATGCGCGCACGTTTCTCTACACACACACACAGACATACAAACAAGATGTCAGTTATAACGTCGCGCGGGTTTTCCTCGACTATATAGTTCACTCTTACGATGCATTAAAATTTCGGGAAAACAAGCCGAAGATAGAGGGAGCCAAAGCGGATAAAAACGAACGTAAAGTGCGTGAAGTTGAAAATAACAAAAAAAAAACAGTAAAGAAGAAGAAGAAATAATAATAACAAAGTCGCTGCTGGCGCGCGCGTTTAGCTCGATAATATTATTATCGTTGCGCGCCTCGAGCGTTTGTATGTTACATTACGTTTTATATATATATACGGTTCTGCGCGTATCTCGCCAATACATATACATTCGATGTGTGTGTGTGTGTGGAACAAGGCCAGTGACCAACAACGCCACCGGCGTTAAAGTAAGGCGAGCTAGAACTCCAAGCGTCACACATTTTAACTCGACCGATCGATCGGCTCGCGCGCGATTCAATTGTTATGTTTTGTTGTATATACGTTCTTGATTGCTGCCCTCCCAAGCGCGCGATATACCGCCCCCGCGCACGATACAGAGTTTTTGTGTGTGTGATCATCGGGCTTTGCCCCTCCCTCCCCTCCCCCGCGACCAAGTAAAAAAAAAAAGCCCCCGATTCTTCGAGCACGTGCTCTCGAGCGCGAATCCATGAGATAGGGACACACGGACGCGGGCGCGACGTATGTGCTTTCGCGGTCGCGTACTACACGAGAAGTTGGTCAAATCGTAAATGTCGCGCGCGCAAGCTGCATCGTCCACCGCAGTGCACAGGATCGAAGCTCGCTCGATGCTTTGTTATACAGGCGGCTGTATGTATATTTCTGGTATAATATAGCAGATACACATACAGGCAGATGTCCGCGTGTGGCTTCCCTGAACTCCGAATTTCCACAAAAACACACACAACGATTCAAAGCCCGGAATTACCCTAATATAACAGACGCACGTGAACTCGCACTCGCGCGAGCAGATGTGCGTTGTGTGTGCCTATAATAGCATACAACGATGAGTCGTCGCGATTCGTCGTCTCCCGCGTGCTAAGGTCCCGCATGCGTCTTTTCTCGCTCGATCGATCTCTTTCCATGCGGGGGATGCCCGTAATAAAGCTTGTATGCGTCAGCGGAAAAGCCAAACCTTAGCTCTCTCTCTCTCTCTCTCTCCTTTTTTTTTGTCTCGTATGTGTAATAATCCAAGGGGGTGTGTAGGGTGTGACATAACTACCGTTACATTGCATCTCTCGGACGCCTCGCGTTAAATTCCCATATGTATCAAGCTCTCGCGCTCGCGTGCCGTGTTTATATACACACACGCGAGCTTTCTGAATGAGCTGTGTGGTGTGCTGCTTCAAAGCCATAGCTCTGCTGCATGGCACGTACATTATCCGATCGATGCGCGCCAGTGTCACACACATATAAAGTGGAGCTTTGCCATATAACGTGCATACGTACGTCTGTTATCGACTCGACGTTTCATTGGGTCAATAAAAGAGCCGAGCCGAGCCGAGCCGAGCGCTATGTTACCAATGCGTTCGAGGCGCGCGATCCGAGCATTCCATATGTTGAAAGAGACGCGCGAGTAGCGAGCGTTCGAGTGCAAAAGAATATAAACCGGGCGGCGTGCGTGCGTGCGTGCGCGTGTGCGCCGAGAGCCATGCGCAGTAGATTGTTCCGCGAGGAGACGCTCATATATATTTTTTTTTTATCTTTCGCTCGACTGCCAAAGCCCTCCATGCTTCGCGCGGCTCGAAAGACTCTCTCGAACGTATAATATAGCGTCTACTTCTTCTTCTTCTTCTTCGTCTTCTTCGTCTCTGCTGCGCTGCGCTCCGAAGTTGCTGACTTTATGCGAGACTCTCCGCAGTCACTCGAGAGGTTTATATAAACTTTCTCTCCTTCCCGTATATACATTCCCCCGATTCTTCTCCTCAATCGGCAGCAACAGCAGCGCCTATATACCTCCTCCTACGTACGCTTCTCTCTTCTCACCTTTTCTATACATCAGGCACGTATACTGGAGGCTTGACAATAGGAGACTAATACCATGTACAGTCGCGCCTTCTAATATATATATAGCTCGTACCCACATGTGTCTCTCTCTCTCTCTCTCTCTCTCTTCCGCGCGTTTAGATTCTCCTCCGTGCCCATGAGTGTCATACTATATACTACTCGAGCGGCTATAACAGGAAAAACTAGCGTATGGAGTGGAGTGGAGCGAGAAAGAGAGAGAGAGCTCACGGAGCGTATAGCAGCTTTCGTATAATATAACAGTCTGACGCAATGCTCGCTGCATGCCGGTTCTCCCGGCGGTGAGCTGCTCTCGCTGTGGTTCTTAGCTACCGGTAAGTCCCCGCGAGACTCCGCCGCTTGGCTTTTTTTTCAACTCTGTATATACGGCGGCTGAATTTTTACTGTGCGCAAAAAAAAAACAATGACAACGATAACAACAACGATCATAATAACGAACGAGTGCGTCTGCTAGTCGGAGTTTGTACAATGCCTTATCGTGTGATTTTAACGTAAATTTCGGAGCGACATATGGCCCATCTTATCCAGCTGACAATAATCCGAGTGAATTTTTTTTCTTTTTGATCGCATTATTCGCGACTCGTTTCTGTGCCTGTGCCTGTGTGTGTATGTGTTATTGTTTTTTTCCTTTCCTATTGTTTTGCGTATATACCGGCTTCGTTTTTGTATTTACTTCGTCGATCGGAAATCAAACATACTCCTCTTCAGACTCATTTAAATTGGGTCAAGAATATTCATTTTCTTCTAACGAGCGTAATATATTAACGCTTATTCATTCGATCGGAAAAAGTTTCTGTAATTTTTTTAAATTGCTTTTTTTTTAATCCATCAAATAACCGAATCACGTTCGTTATGTCCGTTGTGCCAGTGAATTCGTAAAGAAAGCGCGGGAGGAAGAAAGGAAAATAGACGAAAGCCCGCGTAAAGGTCGAAAAATAATTACTCATAGTGAAATCGTCCTTCTAATTAATTTTCTGTAATAAAAAAAAAAAAAATAATAATGTTTGTTCACTATAATTATTTATTGTTTATTGTTAATTAATATAAGGAAAGATTACCTTAGTGTGTATATATGTGAGTGAGTATGTATTGGTAACTGTAATGTGTACATTCGAGATTTGTGATTGAATGAGCTAGTATCAATCTGAAAGTGAGAAGGTGTGATTTTATACAAGTATTATTAATATAACAACAATAGCACAGCTACTATAAACAGTTTTAGATTTATAAAAAAAGCACGTGACAATTTTACTCACGTGATTCTATTTATAGAAAACTCAATACTTGCTTATATTTTTCTGTTAATAATTTTTATTATAAAAAATTGAATTAAATTTTTCTATCAACCTGCAATTGAAAACAATAATTACATTGGATTAAATCTTTGCGATGAATGTAATTACAATTTGAGAATAATCGTTCAAAGAGCTTATCTGAAAAAGAATCTATATTTCGTCTTTGCCTCGCTCTATAATGATCTCAAAATAGTGAAACTCACGCCCACTACCGTAAATGGAAACAACTTATGGTAATGTTTGACTTGAAAAGATTCTCTTTCTTTTCAGGTTTTGGCTATAGCGGCAACGGTACACACCAATAGGACAGAAAATCTCTTGGTGACCAGAATCATCGTAGTGCTTCGTTCAGTGTTGTTTAAGTTCGTGTTATTGATTTGTTTTTCAACACCATGAACGACGAGTTTGAAAATCCACAATGGAGCAATATGGAACTCCTGCCAGAAAATTTAGATAATTTAGAAAATTTAGGCGATATGGGCTTCAACAACTTGGACGAGGTTCGTAATTTATCCAATGACGCTAATGTCAATTTAATTTTACTCTACAATCTTTTACACTTTCCATGCTTAAGTCATATTAATCGTTGAATGCAATTCCTAGTCATTATTGCTAGGCGCTTTATTCTCACGCGTTAGCGCTCTTTAAGTATTTTTAAAATTTACCTCAAACAAGTTGATTCGTAAACTCTGAAAAAACGGCGCCGAATAATGTTAACGGAAACGGAAATGCAATTTTTCCGATTTGCGTCGAAAAAAATTCATCCCGCACGTGTTCGCCCTCTATGTGAAACTGTATAACCTTTCCTCGAAAAACTAACGACTTGCTCCGAAAATGGCTCCAAACGAATTCAATTAAATGAAGGGGTATCAAATTTCGTTTAATAGCATTCTTATCTAAACATGGCCACTTTGTATGCAACTCGAGTGAATATGTTTATCTCATCAAAACTTAATATGACCCGGTCCAATGTATTAGAAAGTAGAACACTTATTTGCAAAAATGAGTTATTTTTTTAAAGTAATTTCATTGCTCGAAAATTAAAAAGTACTTTTATCAACATTTTCTTCAACGTTTATCGTTTTAATCGGGCCTTGCTTTGTTATGATGCAAACTAACCTTCCAGTTAAACTATATCTTGATAGCAGAGATTTCTTCCATTTCAATTTAATCTCATTCTCAGTCATTAATTATCCGAATGAGTTAAGCATCACCGCGTGATTTCACGCTCCCGCGGTCAATGTTATCGATTTAAAAAAAAAAAACAAAAAAAAAACAATAGCTTATTTTTTCCATGGCACCTACAAGTTTTTAAAAATAAATAGCGAGCATTCGATTGAAATGACACACATTTGCACTTCATCGGGCACAGTAAAATGAGAGAGAAAGAGAGAGAAAAAACACCAGTAATGACAGTAGCACACCGCGCTCGGTTGTAGTTTTTCAACTCGCGCCGCTAAAACACATTCAACTTTCATAGAACAGTGTCATTGAGAATAATTAGTATTTCATGTAGTCATATGCACGTGTGTGGGGGGCAAGCGAAACTGGAACTCGGGCACGAAATTATGCTTTTAGTTGCAACAAAGTGCCCAAGTCCGTATGAGTTTTTAGCATATGTCAATTATATAAAAATGCTCGTCGTTGTTGTTTTTCTTTTTTTTTGCAACTCGTAAATAACGCGTTCGTAACGAGCGTTTGTTGATTTTCTTAAGGTGTAATTGTTCGTTCACGGTACATAAACGTTAATATATCATTGTTATTATTTTCAATTTCGACCGATGACACAGGTGAGGCGCGCGCGATAAACTCGTACACTCGTATCAGCTCTCTGCCTGCATAATAATCTATATCTAACTCGAAGCACGAATAACTCGATACATAAAGATATAAGCAAGCATCGCGCGTACCGCCTGGAGTACCTCGCGTACAATTTGTTTAGTCGTTCACGAATTTCTGGGAGTCGTATCGCTTACTCTAAAAAACCTTTCGTTATATTTCAACTCGCACACAGATAAAAAATGATAGCTACGAAGGCTCATGCAACGTGCGTACATACTGATTAGAAACTAAAATACACGAAAAGAGTTTTGGCGATTTTTTACCCTCCGAAAAAAGGCTTTATTTATCTCCGCAAACTACGTCAAAAAAACGAAGCGAATAAAAATGTTAAATACGGTGTCTTATTAAAAATCGACACTATTTTAATCAAATCAAAAGCCAAAGATAACGATCATGAAAATGCGTGCTCTCGATAAGATATGGTTAAAATTCTAGCACCAAAGTTAGATGGAAGTACTTCTCGATGAAAATTACCCTATTATTCATATTAAATTGTTTTACATTATCTTTTAATTGAAGCCCATGTTAATGTTTCAAAGCTCGGTAATTCATAAACAAAATTCTAATACTCGGACACAGGACAGGTGCGATACATCAAAAAGAGTTGAAAAAAATATATACATTAGTTTTGGAAGTCGAGCACGTCTTTGTAATCGTTATTTTAGCTTTAGAAAGTTTGACTTCTTTTTTTTTTCTAGTCAATTTCGACACCTGCTAGACTAAAAAAAAAAAATATGTTTGAAGAATTACCATGAGTTTCAAAACTGTGTTCTCTCACCATGTACTACTCTCAAACAAATATATACAAACACACCTTCTCGCGCGTATTTGAAATTATGTACGCTTCATTTTTGAATTTCATAAATTTACCAATTCAATAGGCTATACCCCACTGCCGATCTCAAATTATTCGGACGATTTCTGTTCTAGATGAATTTTTTTAATTAAAAAATGTAGCACGATAGGATCGTACATGCATAATAATGTACAAAAGTGCGTACGCACAACCACGATGGCGACGACCATAAAGTAATTTTGCTCTCGTCCCCGAGAGTTTGCCCCGATGTAAAGTGTGTATCTCGCATCACGTATATCGAGGCATACCTCACGAAAAACCGGTAGATCGAGCTTTGAATCCTTTCGGAGTTGACGTCGTCTCGCGTACATGCGAACACATATACTTTGCCTCTCTTTGCTCCAATTTTTTTCTCTCGTTTTGTTTTTTTTCTCTTTCTCCTCTTTCCGAGTCTCTTTTGTGGGCATAATGTATAAAAGTGCAGCTTACGTATACGTTCGAGAGCAAAAGGAAAGCCGCGAGAAGAAAATGCGCGAAAACGTCGCGTTTCATTGCACTTACACACATCGCGCGCGCGTAAAATCATTCATCAAAAAGGATACATAAATACGCGTATTGTACAATCGCCGGTATATCCTTTCCCAATCGTGAAAAAAATCGATGACAATGGAACTATCGTCAGGGTTTACTCGCGTACACTCATAGAGAAAGAAAGAAAGGCTTGGTGTGCCATAATATGACTCATACATAATGAAAACAACATTTTTAGAATATATACATAAACGTACGGTCCCATGCTTGCTCAAAGTTCGTTTCACCATATCTATTGCTCGGCTCTCTCACTTCCTTTTAAAGGCGTCACACATATAAACCATGTGTTAGTGTGTGTACATGTGAAAAAGGTCGTTGACCTTTTCGTGGGCACATTTTTAGCGCTCCGACTCGCGAAATCGGGTATCGAGTTTGTAAGGGGGCTTGCTCGCGTATATATAGTATATTCTATATACCTATATAGGATCCACCTGTTTGCAAGCCGCCGCCGCCGCTTCGAGTCGTATTCGTGCGCGCACGAGTATACATGTGTGTGTGTGTGTGTGTGTGTGAGTATGTGCAGGCTTTGCGCGAGTCAATGTTCTTCTCGTTTTGCCGTCACGTTTCGCGAGGCGTTGGCTTTTTTCACGAACGAAGCGCGTCGTCGTCTTGTACTCGCCTTAAAGCGTCGGTGTCAAAAATGCCAATCTCAGCGAATCTTGAACTTTTCATACAATACGCTATCCTCGAAGTTAATGTCGAAGCTCCCCCTCAAAATTCAATCGTTATTTTTTCTCAATTTATAACCATCTCGACATGCATCGACTATCGCGCGGACGAGGGGGGAAAAAAATCCTAGAACAGTAAAGTCGGATTTATATAGTCCATGTTATGGTGCACATTGCAGCAGAGGCCTCGAAGATAGCGGAAGTAGCGTATAGCGTAGTACTGGTATAGTAAAAAGATAGCGAGAGAGAAACGCGCGCCGGTGACTATATATATATGATAGAAACACACACTAGCGCAAGCCAGTTCACGCCTGATAGAGCTCGACGAAAATAATGCCTCCGCGCGGGTTTCTCGTTATTATATACGTTCATGGAAAATACGAGTCGATTCGGCGCCCGGGTGCCGCCCGGCACCGCGCGCCAAACCACACCGATGTTATTTCAAAAAAAAACGTTTTTATAATTTACAAATAAGGTGGGAGCGAGAGAGAGAGCAGCAGTGCTACGGATCCTTTGAAGTCACGGAGGCTCTCGAGGTATTAGAAACTATACTTTATCTAAGACTGAGGAAGAAAAAAAGTGTATCTCACGCGGGGAACGTTTTAATACACCGGTTGTATTTTAATTCCTTACAGAAACGTATGTAGCGTAGTTGGGGCTCCGAGTACCCGACTACGCTGAAACTGCAGAATCAAAAGTACGCAGCGCAGGTATATAGATACTCGCGTCATGCGCTCGAGCGCACATGCGGCAGGCAATCCTCCGCTGCACTTATAATACGTATACGTACGCGCCGAGCAGCAGCAGTGGTAACGACGACCTTCAACTTGACCGGCGCAGGCGAGACGACTGCACCGCGCTGCAGTTCTCTCTCTTGCACGACGCGAGGCTTAATATGGCGCGCCGCGCGTAAGGAATTATATATATATTTCGTGCCGTATAAGGTCCTTGACCCGCCCTCTGCTAATGAATTTCCGTACCTCGAAGCCGATGAAATTCTTCGCGTGCACCTGTATATGTTTCGGAAGCGAGCGTCGAATTTTCATTTCGCATGGAATTTTTCATTTTTTTTTTCCATGTCTTCCTCTATATGAGGAATCACCTCTCCTACTGCGTGCCGCGACCAGCTTATGTACAGACACGCCGTGTACTCTCGCAGTCATGCGCGTCCCATGCCGTGCTCCGTGCCTGTGTGTATACGTTAACGGCACGTATAGGCTCCGTGTATACATACATCGCTAAAAAAAAACTCGTATTTCGCCCGACATAAGCTGAAAAATAATACGCATACTCGTTTTATCGATCGAGTTTGTAATAAATTGTCCATTATGATAGTTGGTATCACGATGCTAATTCGCGATTTTGAAATCTGTGCGTCCGCGCGCGCCTCTCTCTCGCGAATACATTATCAACAATTTAATGTAAATTCGAACTAGTAAAAAACCGATTGTTTCGATCGATGGAATGTCCGAACGTTCCGTCGTACATCTATTAGGCGTTATGGGATATAATAAAAAATGAACCGAGCGTGATTTCTTCACTTTCTCCCTTCGAGCTTCTAAGGATTTTCAAACATTAGAAATAATGACTAGGCGATCGTCGAGAAAATGACTGTAAGCGATGGAATTTTTTTTTTGATAATTTCTCATTCTAATTGTCGGTGTTTGTAATGTTGTAATGCAGCTGTATCCGGACATGCAGTGGTTCCAAGATGAGGACAACAAGAGCGTCGTGATCAAGGACAAATTAATGACGGACGCTGCGTTCGTGGGCGAGAAGCAGACCAAGAGCGAACACAACTACTGCTCCACGAGGACGAGCGACGAGGGTCCGAAGGCTACCGCGTCGTCGTCGTCTGCGTCGTCGTCGTCTACGATACCGCCGTCGATGCCAAACCTGCCGACCCTCGTGGCGAGCGTGCCCCAGCTCAACGGTTCGGAGGTCTTCATTCATCAAAACGCCCACATACTCGGCAATCTCGACGGTGCGTTGCTTCTCCTCCCTCTTATTTATTTGGTTCTGCGTTTCCTTTGCTCGTTTATTTCGTGACCCAGTGTTTGCGCGCGGAAAAACTCTGCTCTGTGGCAGATAAGGCGTTGTTTTGTTTATACCGGCATTTGACCCGCCGCATTTTGGCATACTGCCGCGCGATAATATACAATACAGAGATATACATAAACACGTGCTCCGCATTGTTTTACAGTTATAGATATGGAATTCCCGATCCAGATAGACGCCACGACGTTCAGCGCGGAATCGTCGAGTTCGCACAATGCGCGAGTCAAGGTGGAGCCTCTGAGCGCGCCGTCCAGTCCTCAGCAGAGCAGCAGCTGTGGCAGTATCAGTCTACAGAAGAGAACGCGAAAGTCCAGTATTAGCAACAGCGAGGAGCGCGCCGAGTCGATAGCGAGATCGAAGGAGTCGAAGAAAATCAGAATCTCGCACGTCGGCTCCATCGAACAGATTCTGCAGCAACAGCAGCAACAACAGCAACAACAGCAGCAGCAACAACAGCAGCAGCAGCAGCAACAGCAGCAACAGCAAGATCCACCCACGCCGCCTAGCTGCTACGGTTCCGGTGGTTCCGACGACGGATCCGACGAGAATGTCTCGGCCCATCTGAGGCCCGGCTTCCACGCCGTCAGAGTACTGCCCGAATCGATGGAGGACGACAAAGAGGCCATCCAGGCGCTGGTGCGATCGTTTCCCGACTCCATGGAGATGATGTCGGCGGCGTCCGGTGACGCTTCCGACGACTACTACGAGGAGGAGGATATCAAACCTTTTATTAATTCCTTGGGCGGTGTCAGCACGTCGTCGAGGCAGCCGATCACCACGAATCTCATCTCCAGTCAGCCGGTAAGTCGAGATCTGTCCTGTCTTTTTTTTTTCGACGTGTTGTACGAAGGCTCAAGGCTAATCAATTTTTTTTATTTAAATTTCGATTTGGTAGAAGGGATCTACGGGTGTTCTCGTACTGACGGAAGAAGAGATCAGAACGCTGGAATCCGAGGGTATACCCGTTCCAACGTCTCTACCGTTGTCAAAACAAGAAGAAAAACATCTCAAAAAAATTAGGAGGAAAATCAAAAACAAGGTTGGTTTTTCTTTGACTCGAATTTCTAATGACTTTTTTGGCATTTTTCTAAAACTTTTATGCTCCTTTGGTAGATCTCCGCGCAAGAATCCAGAAGGAAGAAGAAAGAATATCTCGACCAGCTTGAATTGAAGGTGAAAACTCTCGAAGAGAGGAATTCCATGTACGAATCCAAGGTGCTGGAGCTTGAGACGAGAAATGAAATACTGGCGGCCAGGCTGCAGGAAATAGAAGCAGAGAAACTGAAAACTTAGATGACGTAGTAATTACTTAGCGGATTAAAAAAATGCGCGTCTCGTAGAATTCCTTAGCTTAGAAAACAAAGGGATAAAATTCAAGTTTTTTTTATAAATCAGATGAAGCTATTCATGAAGACAGTCAACTAAATATCTCAGTTGGTCAATATACCTTGAGTTATATTCCAGCTTTTTGATACGTACAAAAATGGTGGGAAATGAAAAAGTTAATTTTTCAGTTCGTACCTACCGGTATATAAAATGAATTTAAAAGTAGTCTTATAATTGTACATATTCGCATATAGTAAGATAAGAAATACTATTAGGGTACATTGTCCAGTAGATAAACGACCATCAAGAAATAAATGATTCGTCATTTACTTAAATCTTTCACCATATTCATAATATTATACATATTTTACATATGGTAAACATTTGAATGAAAAATTGTCCATTGACTGGGCAGTTGACCGCGTTCTACATTAGACAATATTTTTATAGTTTATATATTTTAAGGTGTCGGCAATTGATAGAAAGCTTGAAAATCTAAGATCTGCGGGAATAATCAACGGAAAGATTTGCAATCGTCTTTTCCATTTCGCACTTAAATATTTACGATTATTTATCATAAGGGTAGACACAAATGCCTCATCATATTTACGATACACTTGTAATATATTTTTTTCTTACAACTTTTATTGTGCCTACAATGATCCATAATTGTTTTAGATTTTCATGCAACTTTGTTTGGAAATATCCAAATAATTGCTTCGACTATATCGTAATTATTAAAATGTTCTTGAATGATTGTTTAAAGAGCAGTACTAATTGCTAATGATGTGATATAAAATTCAATTAACTGTATATCTAGAAAAGCCCCAAAGTCAGTATGAAAAAAGGACTTGCAAGCGCTCTTCTAATTCATGTTATAAAGACAAACTACTTGTCTGCTTCAAGTTTGTTTATAATTGTTCATTTTCATGCTAGCTTCGACATGTTTTAAAGGGATTTTATGTAAATCTTAGAAAGAACTTTCAAGAGAATCCGGAAACCAGCCCAAAATTCAAATTTACAAATAAGTTTACTGAAATTTCTTCTGAATATTTCTCGAAAAAAAATATTTAGTAGTAGTTCCAGAAATCTTATTTAAAAATTTGAATTATGTTTTTCGTATTCCGTTAATGCGTTAATCATTAACATATTTGAAACGATATGAGATTAGATTGACGTGAAAAACCAAAGCATAGTCTGATTTGCCTCATGCAAATTTATATAGTGATGTCTAAAATCTCATTCACAAGAACTAGGAAAAAAAACGACATCGAAACTGCATCGTTCATAACTGACCGTTCATGATACTAATTATTCACTTTAAATAAACGAGTATACATATCTTGCTTGAAACTTAGCAAAATTATTTGCAATACGTTACCATCTATTAAGCATTTGTTGCGGTGTATTATTTTCAAGCAACAACAAAAGGTGCCTTCGCTCATGGCTAATTTTGTACGTTCAATGTATCTTAATGGTCGTGAGCTCTTGCCGGAGTTTGATGAAGCTAAGCTATTAGATACATTGCAATTGTAACAATTGAAACGTAACTATCTACTGCATCCCCAAAGAGAATAAAGCCCTCTGCACGTTATTTTATTAGCATGCGAATTATACTGTATTTAATATTGTAAAACATAATGTTACAATGTCATTTTCGACGGACTTACTAGTATAACAATTTGAAACGATGCTGGTACACAATTTTCAATTCTCTTTGTTATACAATAATTTAAAGATTTAATACAATTTATAGCATAGTTGAAAGAAAAACATTCCTAACTTAAGAATATGGATGAATTGTTTTGAGTATCACATTGCGAAAAACTATTACAATCAAGATCTTTGAACTTTTATCAGTGCAATTGTTAAAATTGATTGAGCATTTATATTTAAGATTGAAGTAAATTTAAACTTCAGAACTGTATACACCCGCGATGCATAGCTAAATTAACGTCGGGATATGTGCAAGTGAATGAATGGAGTATTAGGAAGTCATGCGTGAAAGTATGGATTTACAATGTACATTGAATTATAGAGCACAATTATTATTACATGGATTTTGTAAATCTTTATGAAGTACTTTCGACTTCCCAATAGTGACTGAATGTAGTCATCTATTACTGATTTTGGTATTTTTAAAATAATTTTTAGTTAAAATGTGATCGAATACAATGAGACTCGAAATGTTAACGAAAGTAGAGTTTTTGTTTTTAATTATTCGACACACAACGTTCATAATAATTGTAAAGAAGCTTTGAATGGTCATGGCGTGCTTGATAGAAATATTCAATATATATGTACAGATATATTTTTAACAGAGTGTAACTGGACGCCTTTTTTCAAAGAAATCATAGTATGCTAACTGACAGCTCTTAGAAGTGATTATGAAATTAATCAGATAATGAAATTAGACCAACGAGAGTAAAGACAAAATCTATTTATCATAACATATAATATAAAAATTATGTCAGTAACTAAACTTATTATAGTGTATATTTATATTTCATATATTATATATTTGCAAGATATCAAAGAAATTTATTTATATATGCGTATTTGAGAGGTGGTTAAAATGAAAACGTAAGACAGATACTAGGCCTTTTCCGGAATGTTGAATCCAAAATTTTCCATTTTTCTTTTTTCTCAAAATCATTAATAACGGTATGAAAATTAATTTTATGGATCGACAGAGACACGCTTAAAAATATACTACTAATTTTTTATTTATGTTTTTAATTTTAAAGCATACCGTAATAATTTTTTCATATTTCAATAAATTTGATATGTTAAAATAAATGTTTTTTAATTTCCGTAAAAACTCAAAACATATAGTTTAAATTGAATAAAAATTTTTATTACGAATCAAGTCGTTTGAATCAAGTTATTTGTCATTACTTTTAATAAAATTAAAATATAAAAAATTTTTTGGTTTTTCAACCATATGTTTCTGAGCACATCAATACATGTGTATGTCGCTAATAACTAATTTTCATTCATCCTTGATAGGAAAAGAAAGAAAATTTTGGGCTCCGCATTTTAAAGAAGACACCAGCATCTATTTATAAATGTTGAATCGTGTCGTTTGTATATTTTATAGCGCGAGTAAAATATTGTATTTAAGATGCATATTGATATTCACTCACTGAAGTGACTTTATAAGAAATTTGATTATGAATGTATCATATCTATTCAATGGTTTTGTATTGTTCATTGTTGAAAATTTAATTTATTTAGATAATACGATGTGTGTAATTGCCAGCGAGAAAAATCCGAAAAGTCACTGTCCATCGAATTACGCTTTAACGATTTGATTTTCTTATCCATGTCTTTTGCAAAATTTTGCACGTAATATAAAACAAACAAGCATGTAACGTACATAAATATCTTAAGATTGCGACTAAATGAATGGCATAATGTGAAATTTTATGCGTAAGAGAAGAGGCACGTGCGTAAACATAATTTGCTAAGTCAAAAACATTACATAGTACTTGATGGGATCAATTTTGACAATTAATACTTTAAATGTCTCACGAAAAAATTTCTAATTATGTATCTTCATCGTGCTAAGCAACAGGGTTTTCGACAATAATGTAAAAACATCAATTAAAAAAAAAAATGAAAAATTTGATCGAACCTAAATGTTGTATTCTGCCTTTGCCTCGCCTATCTCATCCTAAGCGTTAAGTTTTAAATTATAAAAATTGGATAAACATAGACTACATTCATAGTTCATTTATTTATTGCATTTCCTGAAATAAAAATAGAAAGTAAGGAAAAAATACGGAATTTCTGGCGTTCAGCAACGGTGCTTCATTGGAGATCTGATCCCAGAGTAAACAGCCTTTTAATTGTCGATCTTGCAGGGCATCGCGAAACGTGCAGTGAAATATTATAACAATTTTCATACCTAGCTGTTGTAGCCTGCAAAAATTTCAAGGCTTTCGTATCTCGTTATTTTTTTTCTTGAAATTTAATATTCATTACATCGTAATTACTCTGATTAAGAAAGTAACGTTATGTACTTTTTATTAAAAAAAAACACATCAATACGAAATGGAACGAATAACGTTTTATACATAAAAATTGAAAGCGAATAAAAATATCTGAATTTTTAATACTCCGATTTATACAGTTGCTCTACAACTTCCGAACTTTCAGCATATAAAAATGCAAATTTCGTACATCTTTATTAGCATTATTCATCGATCGAAGAATATATATACTATTCATACAATTTACATGTCTACGAAAGCTCTAGAACCTTATCGAAGTCCTCTCTATTTTCCTCCTCGTCGTCGTCTTGATCTTTGACCGCTGCGGAGCTTTCCAGCGACACCAGACTCAACGACTCGTCCAGTTGGCTCTTGCGGAAAAACGAGCCAGCGCCACCACCGGTCATGGATATGTTTCTTCGCGCCGCTGCTCGCTTCTTCGGCTGCAGATACGGTTTGCTCGGCTTTTCCTCCTCGACCAGTCGGACTCCGGGCTCGGGGATGTTCTCAAAACGCGCGAAAGCGACGGAACGTCCCACGGCCTTCGTCTTGCTCGATAAGAAAATCAACGCTCCGATCTCTCGAGTGGTTGAGTAGATCCTAAAAAAAAAATTATAAATACAATAATGATAAAACGCATGCATGCTTGGATCGTTCCGAGCGATGATAGCTAATAATAATCGACAAGTTAATCCGCCAGCCCCGAGAATACACACGGAGATCGTATTTTGTATTCTCTCAGCACGTAGGTGGGGTGGGATCCGCGTGGCCGTGCATACCAAATATCGATTTCGCGCGCCCGAGGTGTACATATAATATCGGAGCTGTCGAGCGAAAGCGAAAAGTCGTGTGTGTGTATATAATATCGTATATATACGCGAGACAAATGAGACACGATCGAGGTGTATATGCGGCAAAACTTGAAACTCTAATTGAAAAAGACACATCTAACACTCGAGCTTTATACACCAGCTTGGCACCCGTAGTCGTTAGAGATAATCGATTTAATAATCAAGTATCGGAAGATTATCCGGACTCACTCGGAAATCGGATAGCCGGAAGCCAGGCAGACGACGACGAAGATCGCGCAGACGAGCAGCAGCCAGAGGAGGACCGGCGCCAAAGCTCGCAGCAGTAGTCGCTCGGACAGCGGAGCACCCGACGACTCGGCTGACAGAACCTCGACGCCCTCATCTGTTGTATGTATAAGGACAAAAGTAGAAAAAATGCATTATCTTTATACATTCTTATATTCTAGCGAGCGGAAATTACCTCTCAAGGCAGCCACCAGCTCAGCCAGGCCAATAACTATGTCGCTGCCCTCGTAAGCGGCATTTTTCTCTCTGATGAGTATCTCGCTCGTGCCGTCGTCGTCCAGCCACGTGTATCTCAGGTGCCACGCGAGCCGATCACGATACCGCGCGAGAATCTGCCGCGCGACCCGCCTCGCCGTGCTGCCGAGACTCCGGCGCGACAGCCTCGCTCTGGCGCCGCAGTAGGGGCAGCAGTGGCCCTCCACTCGCAACGGATACTCGCACTGAAGCGGGCAGGTCAGTAAAGTTAGCACCCAAAAAAAAAATATTCGTTTCCAGTTATGAGATTAATATGAATCGTTTGCGCGTCAAAAGTTGTAAAGAAAAAAATGAAATTTTAGAATGGGTGCTGGAATGTCAGATTGTTTGATTTTTCATTTGTTTTCAGTTGTTCAGTTGTTGACGTTTCATTTGATTTTTGTCGTGGGCAAAACGATTGTTCGTTTGAAGCGCAAACGAATGGTGTAAATCATTTTTTTCCAAAGTTTATTGAACACGTAAATTTATTTATTTAATATAGTAACCCTAGTAAATGTGCTGTTGCCTTTCTAAAATAATTACTTATGATAAACCAAGTAGTAATTCAAATAACCCAGCTGGTGCATTTTTTAAATAATTAAATGAACAATCAAAGTAGAGAGCCAAGTGATTTAATAATCCCGCTCTTGCATCTTAAAAATACATAAATATGCTAGCCAAATCTATAACCCGATTGACTCATCTCTCAATAAAAATATTATTGTATTTAATAAACTTTGAAAAAAGATGGTTTATTTTGGGTGCTGCCATTCCAGCACCCATTCAAAAATATCATTTTTTTCCAAATTTTTTAGACGCGCAAACGTGAAAATGTGACATTCTTTACAACTTTTGACGCGCAAGTGATTCATATTAATCTCATAACTGAAAACGAATATTTTTTTTTTTTGGGTGCTAACTTTACCAACCTGAAGCGGGCCGCATTCGGCCCTGCGAAGGGAGCACAGCTCGGCCAGGTACTCGTCGAGATCGCCCGCCTGGCAGCGGCAGCGCTCGCAATTCTCCAGTTGGCTGTAGTCCACGGGACGGCTCATCCGTCGATCGACGTCGAATTCCGGTCCATCGCGGACGATCTCCCGCCAGCGCCAAGCCGGCAGGCTGCGATTCTGGTCGGCCAGACGCACCGAGCCGACGCTCACCGAGCGACTCAGCGGCAGCGAGATGCTGAAGATCTCCTCGGAACTGGGCAGAACGACTCGGTCAGCCTGGCAGGGAAGACGCTCGAGGTGGGGCACGGCCTCGTTGCTTCCGTTCCAGTTCGCCGTGTCCATCCAGAGATAGGCTCGGTCGGGTAGCCAACGCGACTCCGATAAGAGCGACGAGTTTTTCGTCGCTTCGTCTTCGATCTGTGTATACCGAGAGTAATCGAGTCGAGAGGATCATTATTTCATTTTTTTTATTCTTCCTTTTTTGCAACTCACGCCAACGATACCATCCACGGGTAGAGCCACTTGTCCGTTATCGGCGAGTTCGATTCCCCGTAACTCGAGGCGGCGATCGATAATCCGGGGCATCCCGACGACGTGACGCATCTCCCGTGGAAAGACGAGCTTGCTGGCGGTGTCGGACAGCTCGGGTCTGCGGCCCTCGAGCCAATTCATCGGATTCGACCAATTTGACTTGGCGTCGGCGGGACGCCAGAACTTTTCGACGCCGCTACTGCTGGTTGCGTATCGGAGAACGAGAATCGAGACGAGCAAAAGTCGGCCGATCGATTCCGAGGACTCCATGATGAGACGAGAGAGGCAGACGAGTATTTGTACGGAAGTGTCGAAAGACACAGAAGCGGAGGCGTCGCTGCGAAACTGATGCTGCTGCTGACTGATATCGTTGCAGTTCGAGGGGGCGTTTCACTGGCTAATCGATACCGCTGCTGTTGCTGCTGCGTACGTAAGATCGAAACTGCTCTGTAACGCACAGCTCGATCAACAATTGTTACAGTCGTGATCGACGAAAATAGGGAGACTGCTGCATTGATACCGATTTTTCAGTCTTATTTTGCCAAAATTCATCCATTGTTTAATTATTAAGTTACAAGTTAGATAATTCTTCTGCGTGAATTTTTTTCCACAGATTTCACAGAGTGCCTTTTTGAAATATTTTCAGATTCTTTGCTGTCTTGTTATCGTTATGTTATCGTCCGAACGTTCTTTCTTGATCATGTCTAATCACTCATCTTTAATCGTAGAACGAGTTTTTTGGCCAATTTTTGAACCTTGCAATTGATTTTGGGACAAATAGTCTAATTTTTGCCGTGTAAAAGAAGTTATGGTAGGATCTCCATTTTTGCATTCAAACACTATTTCAGTCTCATAGTTCAATTGAACATTACAAATTTCATCTTTTCGTAGAAGCGTTTGGGTCTGTAATAAAATTAAATTGATAAATTATTGTGATAATTTAGTAATAAATATCCTATCAACTTACGTTATCTTCTGGGCAAAATTGGATGCATTATGAACTTCTTAAGTCGGGTTTCTGCATTGTTTACGCTTCGCACCGCTAGGTGGCGTCTGCTCGTGAGCGTCACTCCCATAAGCAACTGAGCGAGGTGAAGTGTATAAAGGCTGGCGTCTCCTGCCATCGCGCTGTATACAACCTAAACTTGAATGCACGATGTCTTTGTGATATTTGAGACTGTTTGTCTAAGTTCATGTTTGTTTCGACTGCTGAATCTGCTGATTGATGGACTTAATTGGTCCCCTCTTTGTTATTGGTAACGGGTCAGGTAGCTAAGTTAGTTTAATAATAAATGAATATAGGATTATATATAAATATTCTAACCGATTTCCAATGCAAGTAATTTTTTTCTGATGAAACCAAGCTAGTTTTTGTACGACGAAAAAGAGATACCGATTCTCTGCTCTTGCCCCGTCTTGAATTTTCTAAAACTATCATTGAGTAATATATTTATTATTAGTAAAGATGTTTGGTATGATAATGATAGAGACGGCATGATTGACAAATAAATACATTTTATTCTCGCTCAATTTCACAATACACGCTGTACAATATATGCTTCATTTTATTTTTTGTTAAATCGAATACACGCGTTCAAATATATATTTTCAACTACCTTCTTTTGTCAGCTGCACACGCTTATACATATAATCAATGTTTATTATTACTATTTTACTCTTTTACTTTTATAATAATAATAATGATTAATTATTATCCATGAGCTATCGCGGGTTTACATCATAGGTCAATGATTATTATCATTTTAGTATTCGCATTATATTATTTCGTGTCGAGGTATTACACACGCAGGTACATTGAAAATGACTCTATGCTAAGTCAATTAAAACCTGGTCGACTATTGCAATGCTGCACGAAACCAGAAGTTTTGTAACGCCACGTGAAAAGTATTTTTTTATTTTCGTTCAAGTTTGGAAAATCAGAGCGTGTGCCTGATATACATGCAGCGGGGATGAAATGTAGTGCGACACGGCTAACAGCAGCAACTCCGAAAAATTGTAAAAAGTATCGTGTAATGTAACGTAATTTAGTCGACGATTTTATTTTCTTACTTTTTTTGTCGTAACAATTTCTTTATGTATCATATATGGCACTAAACATTTGATCGGATCTCTGGTAAAAATGCTCGAAAATGACCAACAAAAATTAATTTAGACAAGTTTACAACGACATCATATGCGACGATACTACTTCGAGTCTCCTCCGTTATCAGCAAATCTGCAATAGGTAAAGTCGAAATAATTGCATAAGTCGAAGCAGGTAAGTTTTTAAAAAATTTATGTATCTAACTGGGGCTCCTATTATTTGCCACGGTATCGATCTTCTTGCAATCGGCATTTCGTCATGTTTTCATTATGGTTAAATTCACAAACGTACGTAAATGCTAACGTTTCTCCTTCTTACTCCTTTTCCGCTTTAACTTATTAACCTCGCAGCATAATAATGTTAAATATAGATATGTGATCATCGCTCCTGACAAGTGTGACGTCATAAAATGCCGACGGCCACGGAAGATCGATACGTTCCAAAAACTGCAATCATCAATTTTTGCGTCAATGCACTTTCAATTTGTATCGGTAAATTTCATGTGTTGTTGTATTATGTATATAATCTTATTCAAAGAGTACGGGTAACAACCGATTGTAAAGTCTTCAACAGATGTAATATATACACATTTATATAAAGGATACACTCCGTAATAATTTTATATTATTATATAGTTATCATTATAGGGTACCAAGTACACGATGTCATTGAAGCAGTGAACTCGAAAATCTATTGAGAAAGAAATACGGAATTAGAGTGCAGTCGAAGAAGAAAAGAGAAAATTTCGATCGACGGATCGCGTGCTCGAGTGGGGGTGTACTTGGATTATAATGATACACTATCGCGTGTACGTGCGTGAGAATATCTGTCACTATCGATATACGTCAAGAATCGAAGCATCAAGTAGATCATATACGAACCGGAGACTTTAAAAGAGAGAAAAACCGAGCTGCTGCTGTGGGATTATTACTATCGTTATTTAATTTTAATTTTTTAGTAAATCAATTAGTTTTCTTTCTTCTTTTCTCTCTACTGCGAATTGGCCTCGTCGTCGCTGAGCTCGAGCTCGAGATCTTCCACGTCGTCGCTGTCGCTGCTACTGCTTCCGCTGCTATCCAGCACGTCGTACAAGCGACGCTTGCCCAGACCGAACACGTACTTGTTGTTTCTGAGCTGCTTGACGGGCAGCAGCAAACGCTGCTCGTCCGGCTCGTAATAGCTTCCGGGGCTTCTCTTGCCCAGTCCGAAATTGTAGGCGCCCGCTGAGCGCTTTTCCAGCCAGTAGTCCGACTTGTCGTAGTTGGCATCCTCGTTGGACGACGACAGATAGTCGAGGGCCGCCTGCATCTGGTCGGGTCGCAGCCTCTGCAGCAGCTGCTGCTGCTGCTCGTACTCGCTCATGGAGTTAACGTTGCTCCTCTTGCCCAAGCCGAAGGCGTACTGCTTGCCGCGCTTGCCCAGTCCGAAGGCGTACGAGCGAGATCGCTGCGAATTTTTGATGCATGTGTTTTGTTGTGTGTGACCAAAATTTACCAACGAACGTCCCGTGTAAAAAAAAAGATCTTTTTAGATCTTTTTAAGAACGTCTCAATTATGAGCCTCAGTGAGATGTATTGAGATGTTTTTGAGACGCGCAACAATAGATTTTCACTGAGACGTTTCCTAGATCTTATTAAGATGTTTTTTTCTCGCCGAAAAAGATAATTTCCAGTTTTTTTGTCAAGTTCAAGTCTTTTCGACGAGAAAAAAAACATCTTGATAAGATCTCGGAAACGTTTCAGTGAAAATCAATTGTTGCGTTTCTCAAAAACATCTCAAAACATCTCACTGAGGCTCATAATTGAGACGTTCTTAAAAAGATCTTAAAAAGATCTTTTTTTTACGCGGGATGATGCTTGAAAATTAACCAGCTTACCTTGCCGAGGCCGAACTGATAGAGGGGCAGCCTCTTGAACTCGGTGCGGTACGTGAAAGCTCGCTTGGCCGGTATCCGCAGGAAAGCCGCCTCGGCTCGGGGCGCGTGCTGCGACAAGCCCGAGACCAAGGACGACGACGACATCGATGCAGCAGCCGAGACCGAATTCGAATCGGAAGCTGCGACCGAGCCACCACTCGACGACGATCGCAGCAGCGAAGACGAGGAAGGCGAGGACTCGTCCATGGCGAGGGTGCAGGCACCGAGCAGACTCAGGACGCAAAAGCTCGTCGCGTAGCCGCGCATTCTGCTTTTCTTCGCTGTTTTTTACGTAACTCGATAATACGAAAGATGTGTATCTCTGTGGAATCGATCGATCCTCGCTGTAACAAAAATATAAGCCATGACGTTTATTCATTTATATCGAAAATATTTTTCTCTTTGATAATTGACCATCGATTCGCGTATACGTCTATAGTTTATATTTTGAAAACGTTTTGTCGACTGTGTTATTGCCTGTCGTTTATCTCTCTATCGCGAGGCAATATTCTTTATAGCGTGGGGGGCCGTTTAAGAAATAAAAAAAAGAAACTACTATCTATCGCTTTCGACCTAAACGCACACCTACACGAGCAATAGCTTCTCGTAAGCAACTTCAGAGCTCTATACGGAGCTGTTATAGTCTAGTCCGAGTCTCGCGCGAAGGTTAAAAGCTCCTCCGCAGCGCTAAAAATCCTTGGCGGAGTCGCGTGAATCGTCGTTTTTCGTATGATATTAGTGCATAAATATCTACCCGCATAACGGTTAGATAAATTCGCGATTTACCACGAGGCATAAAAGAAAAGAAGAAGAAGAAGCAGCAGCTGCGTCTCAAGCCATGGCTGCTCCCGCATTCTATTTACTGCAATTGCGCGAATCCACGAGTTCAACCGAGGTGCAGCAGCAGCAGCAACAGCAGAAGAAGGCTCGATCGAATCGCTGTAAAATCGCCGTAAATCCAGTATTACACGGCTTCGTCGAGCTTTTCTTGGGCAAATTTGCCAAAGTTCGCGTTTGAATTGTAATATTTTAGTTTGTTACATATTAATCTTTCGACCCACGCTCGTAGTTCATCATATCCTGTTTCTCATATTTAATCGATGCTCGATAAAATTAATTTCGGTTCATTCTGCATGGATTCCCACGCGTTTACAAAAAATTAAATTGAAATCCGAAATGAGAAGCCAATAACTCGGTTTTACAATTCCGTGGGGGAATTTTACGATCCGACTTACGAAGAATTAACTCGATGCAATAAATCTATTGAACAATAACAGCGGCGACGATCGTTTGAATGTTTTTTTTCTGCGTTCAGCTCGATTTTCAATTATAATTTTTATTTTTATTCAAGAAAATCGTCTTTTCTTCTTTATCTTCTCCCCTTTTTTTCTTTAAACACAGAGCTTAAGCTCCATCGACGTACGACAAGTGAAGGATAAAAAGCTAAAAAAAAAGTATAAAGGAAGCTATATAGGAGACAGAGCCAAGTCGAGCGGCGGCGGCGGCGGCTCCTTCGTCAGTCACCGCTCTCTCCACCATCACGTCACCGTCGAAGCGTATTTCCGATCACGACGCACCGATGCCGGCGTGTATATTTGCCCCTCTCATTAGGTACGCAAAAAGAGCCAATTGAGTGTGAGAGAGCAATATAGCGCCAGTGGACTCGAGGCATCGATCGAGTCGCGGAGATCGGAAGTTTTCAAATACGCTCGGGAGAGACGTCGCATTCCCCCCCACAGCGTCCGCCGGCTGAGGGGGTAGTACACAGATGCGATTTTCCGAATAATTGAACTCGAAAAGCTGCGCGTGTGTATTTACGACGAAACGAAGCCAATTCCGCGCGCGCGACGGATATATAATACCGATATAAATGTAAGGATAAAGCGAGAGAGATTCTTCTCCTCCTCCTCCACACACACACACACACACCTGTATATCGAAGTAAAAAGCAAGAAAACAATCGGATGCGTCGTACCTTCTTCCGCGACGCGCCGTTTCACGTTCGAATGCGTCAGAGTAGAGAAGAGAGATTGACGTCACTGCGCGGTAGGAAAAATGTCTTGTACGCGAAAAAAAACTCCCTTTTTCTTACAATTATGCTCGAGAGCTTTTTTGCTGTATGCGTGCAGCTTCTCTCGTGTATCCGAGCGCGGCAATAATTTTTTTGGCTTCCTGTGGTTAGAGAAGAGCGTGGGTTTAAAATAAATAAATAAATAAATAAGTAAGATAAATAAATAAGCGACGCAGGGTGGTAGTATATCCGAAAGTAATTTTGCTAAAAATGTCGTGATATATTGCACGGTGATACGAGACGATGAAAGCTCGCGTAAGTGACTTGCGGGATCTACGCGGAAGCTTCCAGATGTTAATCGCATCGAAAGCAACTGCACCGACGCGGAGTTTCGTGAAAAATTAATTCGTGTGTGCGATATACAATGCGGGCAAGGATGATGTAAGATCCACAATTTGGTAGTTTTTACATCATTTTTCAATAGAGCTTGGGAATATATTCCGTCGTTCGTCGTTAACATTACTAGTATTATCAGTTCGTTCGGCAGTTCAGTGATATACTTTTATACTCAATCAATTTTCTTGGCCGCGAAATGCAACTTCCTTCGATATTTTTATCAGCGTCTGACGCGTCGTAAACGCGTACTACTTGAAAAAAGGCAAAACGCGCGATATACACACACAGCTCGAGAAACGAAATGAATCATGCACGCGACGAACGGAGAATAAAGAGACGCGAGAAAATCGCAACGAAGAATCCGCGTAATCGGAGACGCAGGATCATAATACATAAAAAAGAAAGCTGTAAAAATTCAACAAGGATGGATAGTTCTCGCGGTCCGCGCCCGAGATATACTCGTGGTTTTTCCAGCAGGTCCTCTTCTCTTTGCTCGTTATATTATATGCGCCGCGTGACGCGCAGAGCGCGCAAGAAGAGACTCGTAAAATTCTCGAGAGAGACAAGACAGCTCCTTACCCAGGACACTTCGTCCTATAGCTTGCAGAGCTCCGAGTGCAGCAGTGGTGGTGCTGTGCGACGCACTGCGCCTTGTTCGTACATAAAGGAGGAGGAAATTGGCGAAGCAATTACACGCGGGACCCGCCGTCGTCCGCGCGTTCATAATGTGACGTCGTACTTTACTACTGCCAGGGATTATCATACATCGTAACTGACCCGTCGTCACCGAATGTAATATATATTTCTGCGAATCGTCTATACATAATTCAGTATATATCATAAAAGAGCGATACAGGTGGCGAGCTTTTAAAGTTTTGTAAAGTCGATAATTGGGGTAAAACGAGTCGAGGATCGATTACGTTTTCAACGATAATTCACACGCGTGCCTTTTGTCTGGCGTTATTGTATCGCCGCCACCTGTTCCGGCGCGTGGCCTCACCCGCTTCATTCGATTATGGATTTCCGAGTGGTGGTACCCACATACGAGCAACGTATATATATCATCGAGTGCGTCTAAATCGACGTTTGATTTTTCGTTTGATACGTTATCTCGTTCGCATGGGCTGCTGCGTACGCGTGCTCAGTTAACAAAATTTTTTTCATTCTATTTTTGTACATAATACTCTCCTCTTATCCACCCCTGAGCCTCTCTATCCCATATGTATCGTGTTTATTCGTTTAGTGGCCCCTCTCCGATTATGCAACTATCTGCTCTCTCTCTCTCTCTCTCTCTCTCTCTGACACATTTTTGTGCGTGCGATATGACGCAACGTCCGGGGCTATCGCGTTTCTATATCGCCGTGTGCACATACGCAATATTCGGTTTTCGATTCTCAACTACGTTATAGAATCGAAGATCAGAAATTTTGAGCTGAAAAAAAAAGACTATTTCCTGCCCGAACTCTGGAGCGACGGATTAAGATTTATCTTTCCCACGTTGCTCGTGTATATCTCACGAAACCGCGTTGCAAGTTTTGCCCAGCTTTGCGAAAATAAGATATTATCGTAAACTTTTCGTACGCGTTGTTTTTCATTTTTACATGTGGCCGCGAACTTTTCTCCGACGTCTCTGACAAGTATTAATCGTCGTGAAATATCTTCATTTAAAAAAGCGCCCGTCAAAACTAAAATCTGACCTTTATTCAGAATCGAGCTTTTTCGCGCATTGTGCGTGATCATCTTCGATTCGATATACACACACTTATGCACAAAGCACGATTCTCTCGGTTATTGTTCGCAGCTGGAAATCGTAGCAGAATCTGAATAAATTCGAAATTGACTCGAGAGCACTATGGTACTGCGCGTTGGTCGCGCGTGGGATTATGATGTAAGACCTTTATTTTTATTTTTCTTATAGACCGAATCCTTTTCTCTCCCCCCCGTTGTAGTATACAAGTCGTGTACGCATCTCTCTCTCTCTCTCTCTCTCAATATAGGATAGGAGCAAAAAAAAAGCTCATTTAATCCGGGAAATCGATTGCGCGCGCACGTACGCGGAAAGGAAAGAATAAAATAACAATATAAGAGCTATTGAGAGAGAGAGAGAGAGAGAGAGAGAGAGAGAGAGAGACAAGAGACACATGATGGATAAAGAAATGCTTTATATCGTGCGCGAGTCAAATTGTAAATGAAAAATACAACTATGTGTACGATACGTGCGATCGCGCGGGATACGATATCATTTTCTAATCGAACGAGGATACTTTGGAGTTTGGACTCTCCCCGTCGTATGTATAGAGAATTTTTTTACACAATGAGGGTCGCGAGCTTTGTATGCGCGATATGAACGATCGTTTATGGACGGTGGCGAAAGTTGGGATTATGAGATTTCAGCAGAGGACTGCGTCTATGAAAAGAAATTAATATTGACCTCCCTTTTTTCTCTCTCTCTTCTGGTTAGAGAGCATAGATGGAAATTTTTAAGATTTCGAGGCAAGTTTTTGACCAACGAAAATAGTTGCTTTGACGTCATAGGTCCATTAAAATTGAAGCAAAGGATTCTCTCAATTTTTTATGGGTACTTCCACGATTTTGAACAGGTAATTTTTGACAGTATAAAATTTACGCAATTTGCCATTTAAACACACTAACATCAGTTATTTTAAAATTTTTATCACCACTAAGTATGGCTTACATAAATGTATGATAATTCTGGAACCGTACTTATACAATTACTTTTATTTCGCCACTTGCAGGTTTACAGATAAAGGTATACTCGCCATCTAGCGGTGGAGGCTGACTTTAATTATCTACCACTGAAAGTAACCGAATATTTTGGTAATATCAAAATCAAGATTCGGCTTATAAAGTTATGTTTACTTAGTCACTTGCAGGTTTATAGAGAGGTTCGAAGTAAAGTAATCATTGTGTATAAAGTGGTTGAAAATTGATACAAACGTTTCGAAACAATTGAATTGTCATTTTCAAGTCATTTAAAATTATCTCATCTCGGTCATCAAGCCACCATTAATATCGAACGTTCCTCCGAGGGGAGCAGCAAGAGAAAAGGATAATCCTCGTTCTATGCAAGACCATAGAACGTCGCGAAGAGAGAAAAAAAATATTTTTATCCACGCGACACACTCACGCACGCACTCGCGGTTATACGATTTGTTGTCGCACTCGCAGCGGCTCAGCTCCAATTAAAGAAAACAAATTTCCCCCCCGTTCCACGCGGCCGAAGGAAAATTAACTGGGGTAAAAGTTATCGCTCCTCGTCGAGGCACGATCGTTTGTATTACATACGTATAAGGCAGATGAGCGATGCAATAAGTTCGCCTTCGAGCTCGACTCGTTGGCTCGTTCGTAAAAGTATTGTTGATAAACAGAGAGAGACAGATAGACGCTGAGTTTTGCTCAACAAAACCTCGATTAATGGGATTGTCGGTTACGCGCGACAGATCAATTTTATGTGGATCCCTCTCCCTTCCTCTCTCTCTTGGTTGTATATAACGATCCACATACGTGACTTTTCCACTTCTCCTTTGCGATCCGAAGGTGAGAAAACAGTATTACAAGCAGGCGTAAATTACGTGCGTAATTATAATGTCGTCCATCGTCCTCCCTATCGTATCTAGTGTAACGCACCGATCTTCTGAGCTAAGATCAACGAGAGAGAGAAAGAGCTAAAAAAATATATTGGCCTAAACACGGGTGACTAGGCCAATTGCCGTAACGGTACTCGACGATGTACACAACGATTCTCGAGCCCTCGAACGATGATGATATCCCCAAATAATCACGTCCGTCGTCGTATAGTCAGGGCTGCGACTGATTATCAATATTTTAATACCCGACGTCGAGACGCGATAGCAGCTCTTATCCTGTCCATCGAGATAGGCAAATGATTCCAATAAAAAAATAACAGGAAAAAAATAGTCGAGTGTGAAATCATGATTTTGAATTATAGGTGAAATTTCATTCTATAAAGGGGCCGAATGACCTTGTTATAAATTCTCAATATTATTAATGACGTAATAACAGACCATTGAAAAGGACTTTTAAATACCGATAAAATTGCTTATTTTTGACCTGAAAATGACGATTAAACTGTATCAAAAAATTTTGACGAGTTTTCAATCACTACAAATATGATATTAATAAACTACTTAAAGTCTCCACCACTAGATGGCAAGTACCTCAACATCTGGTAACCTGCAAGTATCAAAGTCAAAATAATCGTACAAGTATATCCAATTCTTAAAACCGGGCATCTTTAAGATTCTCAAAGTAAGTCTGTAACCCACATTTTTTACCGACAGAGTCGAAAAATTTGTTTAATTCATATATTTTTTTCTCAATCGAATATCGAAAAACGGCTCAATGAGACCATCGACCAGAGTTCCCGAAAAAAGCGTTTGAAAATTTCAAGCTGGGTAAATGTGTGAAAATTTCAAACACGTTTTCCGGGAAATCTGGTCAGTGGGAAAACTTTTACCAGTTATTCAGAGCAATAAAATGAAGGTTCCCATTTGATTGGTTCCCAAAGATATAAATTAAACACATTTTTCGACTCTGTGGGGTACAGACCACCTTAAAGAAACTATTTTTTTTGTCTAAACCATAGCTACAAAATATTGAGCATCTTTATCAGGTCTCTATCATACGCGCGGCTGAATTCATATCCCTGCATGCATATACGTTACATTCATACGCGCGACGTTTTCGCGAGTAGCCTCCGCGAGGTCAGCTAGAAACTTGCCATTTCAGTGGCGCAGCACATTGTACAAGCTCCGTAATTAGAGCGAGCGCGCGTGGGACGAATGCGGCATATGCGGCAGTCCGGTATAACGACGCGTGCCAAGACGTGCCTGTCCGTATCATTTACAAGTGATATTTGACTGTAACAGTTGCATCGACGCAGGGATGATACGCACGGCAGGTTTTTTCCGCAGCTGTGCCCCAATTGGCCGAACGTCGTCGTTGATTATTGTCTGGGTCGATCGAACCGAATGAATGTGTACACAACTAATTCCACGGGCCGTCGCGCGGACGCTTCGATTCTCTCGCTTACATATTATATTTGCGTACAGTCGGTCTTTTTTATTACGTCGCGCGAGCTTGGCCTATCTCTCTTCCTGTCTGGTCTTTTTTTTTTGTTTTATTTTTTTTCATATACATGTGCGCAGGCCATAATTAATTAGATCTGCTTCGAATGCGCGTTATAATATAATAATATAGTCGTCGACACCAAGATCGCAACGGCCAATTAAAACGAAACTGATTTACGGTCCGAGACGACGACAGCGACGACAGCTTAAAGTATCGGTGTACGGATTTTAATTGGACCATTACGAGCCACCGAGCTAATACTTAATTTTCACCTCCGTTATGGAAAAATGAAACGAGTCGAAGATTTTAAAGCAAATATGTGTGTACGCGTGATAACCGAAAGTTACGACGTTATCGTTGGTTGTATCTCCTGATAACCGCGACTCGGTTGTACGTATGGTCTGACAGTTACAGTCCAATTTCGGGAGAGTCATTTAAAAAATCGGCCAAATTCCTTGGCTCTTGTTTATCGTTCTAATAACGCGTGCCGCAAAAATATCCCTTTCCTCGCGCGGATGGCTTACGCGCGCTTCTTCCTTCCATGCTTTCTTTTTTGTCAGTTGCCGACGGAAAGGAGTAGCTAAAAGCTCGCTGCACTGAGCTTTACGAGCGTCGTAAAACAACACATGCGCGCGCGCGAGTTTGTAGAGCAGCTTTTGTGCGGTATGTGGATATTGAACAATATGCATGTACGTGTGCGCGTGTGCTTTTTTAACGGTCACTGGGGTATAAATCCTCTTTTGCCTCACGGTGTGCCCCGCGAGTGGATGAAGGAGACCGAGCCAGAGGCTAGAGAGAGTACGATGAAACAGGCAAAATACAACTGTCGAAAAATCACAACACTGTCGATCACCGTTTTTCAATTTTTTTCCCCCTTCTTTTGGGAGCAAAAAAAAAAAAAAAGAAAATAGAAAGGTGGTCACGAACGCACTCGCATACAATACAACGCCGCGCGCTCATTGTTTCACGGATCTCCTCTCGAAGGGGCAAAAAAAAAAGACGGGCGCTCGGACTAAAAAGCTTCCAGTGTAGGATCTCTCTCTCTCTCTCTCTCTCTCTCCTTGAGCCGCGCGGTAAACAGTTTTAGGAGGACGCGCGCATCGTACTACATTGTCTAGATTTTTTTAATTTCACCGCCGAAGAAGCAGCGGTGCAACGCGTAACATAATGCGAGGCCCTTTTCTTTTCATCGGAATAATGTTCGTTCTCTTTCTCTCTCATAGTGCATTTCTATGCAACGCGATACAAGCCCATACATCCGGATTTTAATATCCGCATGTCGTAAAAAGAAAGGGGGAAAAAAAAGGAAAGATAAGGTAGTAGCGGTACACCTATATGCCCATCGCGCGTCTATACGTATTTATAGTTTCTCTCTTTTTTTTTCATCAAATATAACGCACTCATAATGCAATATGCATTATATATACGGATACGAATTGTGCGCGCGTGCATTATTAAGGCACAATGCCGATCACACATACATACATATACGCACGAGCTCATCTCGCGCGCGGTGGAAAATTAACGGGGGCGGCCGAACGTTGATGAAATCCGGCTGTGTGCTAGCAGCAGTTGATGAAAATTACGAGTGTTTATCCGCGTTCGCGCGATGAAAACGGGGGGGAGGGAGATCGTAAAAATACTACTTCATCACGCGCCCGCGTATATCTACTCTCGCTCGCGCGCATGTATTTAATAATAATAAATAATACAATTGCTCGCTCCCACTCGGTTCGCGCATTTATAATGCCTGCATACGCATTCATATTGTATTGTGTGTATATATCTCGCGCCTCGTTTAGCTACTACTACTACTACTATCCCGGGATCGTTATAAGTACGCAATTTCGAAATTGGCATGTCGCTTTATATGAACTCTGTATCGGGTCTGGGGGAAGAATATTTTTCGTATGTATATATATCATAATATATACTGCTCGAATTTATGACAGTTGCTATTATATGAATATTCATATTCGAATAATCGATTGTACTTGAAACATTACACGGAGAGAGATAGAGGTAGAGAGAGACAGTTCAAATAGAAAATTTAATACAATTTGCGCGCCAAGGAGTTTCGCTTTAATATAGCGCAATAATAGTCGGAGGGGCTGCTCTAAGTGTCGAGTGCCGCGCGCGTCCCCCGATCGATAGTCATCGAAGTTATTAACGCATGCAAAGCGTCCGTGTCCGTCATTCATTCGATACACGTATGTATGTATGTATGGAGTTGTATGATTCATCGAAAGAAGTAATTATTTTTGAATTAACGATACGCGTATACAGTTAAATGAAATGCTCGCGCGAGTATAGCCACTTCGCGCTTCGCAAAGTGTGCGTATTCGCGGCCGGCGCGATGAAATTATAAATGCGTTTCACGCTCTCGATTCTCGACTGGATTAAATTCGGAGAGCTTTTGATCGGGCGCGCGATGTTTGCTCTTCTTCTCGTTCGCGTTGCCGTTGCGTTGCCGGAGTAAAGATAATAAAAATTCATTCGACCGAGCGCACACACACACACACACGATCGGAAATGGTAAGTAAATCTCTTATTCACGGGATTCGAAAAAGAAATACAACGATCGAGATGATCGAGCTTGCGAAGAGGCGAGCGAGTGAAAAAAAAGCACGCGAAGCCTGTTGCTCGCGCTTAACGCGTCAATCGCGCGAGCTGGATGTATAGCCTTTTGCTCACCTGTTGCTGCTGCTGCTACTGCTGCTTTATAAAAGCTCTGCCGACGTTGAATCAAGCTCCGCTCTCTTTTCTCGCCTCTGTCTGCGTGCTTTTTTATAACCGCGTCGACGACGACAAAGTGTACCAAGACCGATTTTCTCTCGATCCTTCTTCCTCTCTATTTTACGTATATATATCTTCCTTGTCGGGCACGAAAGCTCGTCTATATGCGAGTCGCGACAGAGACAGAGAGAAAAGCTGCGGAGGAGCGTCCAGTTGAGTTAACGGCACAACAATGAAGGAACCGACGAGCGTCTCGCTCCTCTATATAGTCGGTCGCGAGAGCGCGCGTATCAGCGCACACACACACACACGCGTACGCACACAGTCACGCAGCCCCCCAATCTGCGATGTATCTGCGCGCGCGTACCTTCCTTTCTATCTCTCTCTCGCTCTTTCTTTGCTGCTCGCGAGATCGAGCTTTTTCCCTGTGATGCTGTTGTGCCCTCCCGACAGCAGCAGCGGAGCTTGCAAACGATCGTGAATCGCGATGAAAATGTACGATACGATGTCGCGGGTGAAATTATTCGCCTTATATGCTGTATCGTTTCTTTGCTTCAGCTTCATAACTTTTATTTTAAAATGATTGCTGCTGTTCTCAAATTTTCGATAATTTATATACTCTTTATAGAGCTCGTATAAAAAACATATTCTTTTTAGCGATTTGTGCGACGAGTGGAGTATCGTACAGTCCGTATTCGATCGTATTTTTATTAATTTAATTTCGCTTCCGCTCCCCATGGGATTACTATCCCGAGGACCCGAGCTTATTTGATTATTTTTTGAAGGAACACTTACTCCATTAGCGAGAATGAAATTAATACGGCTATATTCCATGTGCTACAAACGTATATCGAAACGATGCCTTCGATTATTTCCCTCCTTCCGTGTTAAATAATTGAAAATACAAAAATTCATTTATTGGCCTCGAGCATATTAGTGATTCATTACGAGTACTTGGGATGCATTGGAATAAACACGAGTATTGTAATGAAAGTCACAATTACGGAAAGAGAGAGGGAGAGAGACGACAGTTTACGGCTCACGGCTCATATTTTCATGTTAACACCTCCCGATGTACCGAAGGAAGAAACGAGCGGAGCGCGCGTATACATCTCTAGGCGTCACGCGCCAGACAAATGAGGAAGAGGGACGAGACTTGGTAATGAGTTTCTAATGCTAAATAGACTGTTTATGCTCTATGCAGCGACGAATGCACCGGTTGTTTCAAAAAAGTACGCGAACCCGTAAACGAGTGCAAACTTTACGGAAGATTCAAAATTATGTCTGGTTGTTAAAAATAATGATAAACTAACTTTTATTTCATAAATAATCAGTTCATTAAATGAAACGGACGTACCGCCTTTATATACGCGTATAGCTCGCTAAAACGAAAGTACCTAATTGGCATTAAGTTGGATATTTTTCGAAAAATCCTCGCGCGCGTGTAAAAGTACTTTATTACGAGTGAAAACTACGCCGTCAAACATTTTCCAACCCGAGTCAGACGCATAATGACACGTGTGCGAAAGGGTTGCAGCTGCTGGACGTTAAATACCGAAAGTAAGTACGTTATCAAGCTAGTTTGATATTCAGCGTTCGCATAAAATGAAGCTTAAAAAAAAAATTTTGCACTCGTACACGCGTGCGCGCCCGGGCAAAAAAATTAATTATTTAAATTGCCTCCTCTTTTTCGAGAGGGCTTCAATCGTCGGTGCGGCGGGGGCTTGTATCGCGATCTCCATTACGAGAGCGACATGCGTAAATGCACACGATATAAATTCCAGCCGAATTATATTTCAAAGCTTTTGCTTAGTAACGTACTACACGCGGATTACGTCTTCCCGACTAATTACGAATCGAAAATGACGCCACGTCGGCACGTGGCGGATTATCGTTCGGGGGATACCGCTACACCAAGAGAAATGTGTCTCCGAGAAATGGAGATAAGAGATAGCTCGGTGCGCCTGCGAGCGTCATGGAATTACGCGAGACCGCATATAAGGAATCGACGAAATCGACTAGTCACACCTGTCATCATCATCATCGGTTTCGCACTATTACGCACGTTTTTGAGCACGGCTGATCGCGTTGTACGCTCGTACTACTGCCGCTACCGTATACGGGGGAAACTAAACAGTAGCGGTAACAGCGTGTATACCGCGACGGGAGGAGCTGTTACAGCTATTGTATTATCGCGAGGACCTTGACTCATTTTCCAAACGTACGAAGCTGTATTTTTCCCCAATTTTTTTTTTTTTTAGTTCGTCGTGCTATAAATTCCAAGCGGAACCGACGAGGTAAAGCTTGCAGCGGGGAGCTTTCATCTTCCTCACGCACCATATAACGTTATCGCTCGATGATTTGTTTTTTTTACAACTCGAAACATATGCTACAGTCGCGCTATCGCTGAGAATCAATTTTCGTCTCATTCATCGTCGTCGGCAAATAACTTTACGAAACTTCCCTATTCGCGTTGATTTGGCTTCTCGCACACACGGTCTCTGCCGAGTGAGTTTCTCAAAGACATTCCTCGACTCTTCTCCTCGTCTGTAGCCTCCGAGGTTTTATTTATCCCGAGCTTGTGCTTACGAGCTTTCTGTCTGGATAAAAGGCCAGCAGCAGCAGCAGCAGCTTTATATATATTTTGAAACACCCGTGTTATTTTATAAATTATAATAGATCGTATAAAGAATAAATGTGGTTATAAAGTCTCGCCTATAAGGTGGATTTTTATTGTTTGTTAGCCATTTAAATTTGTTATTTTTTGGTAATGAAAATATTTCGTGGGAGGTAAATAGCGAGAGGGAGAAGTGTCAATGTCGAACGGCTAGAGTTTTAATCTGAATATCGTAAAATTACGTGGGTGGATTTACTTTACTTTTATAGCAGTTGATTGAGAAATTAAATTCGAGCGAAGCAGTGAAAATTTCAATGTTTTCTTTCAATATTTTATTTTAACTAGCTTCAAATATTTAATTTTCGTGTAAAGTACATAGTAAATTCATACGTATTACGACCATTAAATGAAACGGTTTAGCTATTCAGGGGAAAATTCATGCATGAAAATTTTCATTTCCGTATACGAAACTTCCAATAACCCAAGAGATATCTAGGAAATGATGATTTTCCTACACGAAATTTAAAAGATCACTAGCATTTCGTATAACAATTTTCTTCTGAATAGACACTTCATAAATGAAATTGACAACATTATAAACTTTTATATTAATCGTATCGATAAAATTTAAAAAAAAAAATTATGCATCGTATCATCTGTGAAATCAACGAGGCGTTGATAAGTTTCATATAACTCGGGGTTTTATTTCACTCGATAGTCGCTTGCATGATCCACTGCTGGTCTTAGCCGGATGTTTATGTCTCGGAGCACGTTTCGCTCGAGAATAAAAAACACTTATTTATTCAACCTACTTGGTCGGATGCACAAAAGCCAATCTCGATATAATACGGAAAAATATTTTCTTCCTGATTACATATAGAAATTGTACGAGGCCCTTTTACCTTTGATTCGTTAATCTCCTTTATATTGACACTCTTTCGATGTACGGAATTTAATTTACCGGCGACTTTGTAACCGAATCAATTTATTGCTTTTTAAATTTAATTCCAAGATCGAGCGAATTTCGTGTGTAATTGAGCTGGCAATGACCTAATTCATTTTCATTTCGCATTTCGTGAAATAGAATTACGAGAAATTAAAAAGTTTTCTGTTTCGATGATTTTTTAGACACTCGAGGGCAGGTACGGAATATATTTAATTTAGAATGTATTCGTTGCAGTCGTGTACAGAGCGGATGATTTCGAATAAAAGGCTCGAAAATTATAAAATTAAGCTTATTTATTTCAGCCTGAGATATATATTTTATACATAAAAATCAAGGATGTAGCTGGCAAAATGTATTGAAATTTACATGAACTACGCCGTGTGCTTAGCGAGCCGTGATAGGAACGTAAAATCGATTTATTCGCGTCAGGAAAATATTACAAGACCGGACGAAATTAATTATTAAGAGTTTGGATAATGAGACGAGGATCGTCGTCGTCGTCGCAGTGAGAGCTAAAGGAAACACTACAACAACGGAGTGCAGCATACAAATACGAAAATGAAAAGTAAAAAAGAAAAAAAGAAAGAAGAAGAAAGAAGGAAGAGTCGCGCGAGTACATAAAAGTTCTTGATTAAATAAGTTGCACTGGCAGCAGTCGGCTTCTTGCCGCTCGAAGACAACTACAACGACAACAACCGACATCATAAACAAAAGCTTTATACGACACGACACTCGTGCTCGGCAAAAAAAAAAAAAAAATTGACAGCCACCATAAAGTCCGCGGAAATCAACGCAGCAGCTACAGCTGATCATTACCGCTGCACCACCAGAGGAGATCATTCCGCTTTTTTAGCGTGCCACTTCTTGGCCGACTCCTCTCTGGCCTTCTTGCCGTGTTTCTCGTGCTCGCGATGATGCCGCGACTCGGCGCTGTCGTGGCCGTGGCCCTTTGCCCGCTCGCGACGATGACCCTCCTCCCGATGCGCCTTTTTGCCGTGTCTCTCGCGATGCTCGCCGCCAGCTTTGTGACCCTTGTCGAAGCGGCCGCCTTTGGCGCGACGATACTCGGCGTGATGGGCGCCCTCCTTGTCGTACGAGCCGTCGTCGTGCGTCTCCTCGAAGAATTCCGTCTTTTTGTTGAACTCGTCCTGCAAATAGTCAAAATGTACAATATTCTATGCAATAATTGTTATGGCAGTTCCTTGGTACCTTTTTGTGAACGACGTGCTCGCCTTTGGTGTTGTGGCCCTTGTTGTGCTCGCCCTTCTCGCTGAAGCTCGCCTTCTTCTCGCCCTTCTCGCCCTTTTCCCGTTTAGCCTCGTAGCCGCTCTCGTCGTCGTGCTTCTTGCGGCCGCCCTCCTTCTCCTTGTACTCGCGATCGTGGCTGGCCTTGTCGAGGTGTCCTTTCTCGCTGTCGCGGTGCCTCTCGTGCTCGTCGTAGTCCTGATCATTCATCGCCCCAAAAAAAAAATTATCGCACTCGATATACGTTTTTACTTTGATTATTTTTTTACCTTGTGACTCTTTTCGTCCTCCTCGAGTCCGTTCTCGTCGTGATGCTCGTCGAAGGTGCCTTCCTTAGCCTCGTGACTCTCCTTCTGATCTTTGACCTCGAGCTTGTGATCCGCTTGGGCGATCGAATCGTTGCTCTTGACGGATCCGTTCACGGGTTGCTCTACCTTTTCCAACACTTGAATATTTTGTCCGAGTAGTTGATCGTAATCGGCATCCGTCGAATTTTCGCTCTTCAATTTTTGAGTCTCGTTCTCGGGCCTCTCGATACTTTCGGAAGTCACGTGAACGATTTCCGTCGACTCGTTGTACAAAGGATCTTCGTTTTCTTCCGCGCTCTTTTTATGGTTCGATATCTCATTGATATCGCTCTCGTTGCTGGACGATCCATTGGAAGCGTTATAATCTTCGTCGTCGTCGTATTTCGAGTAAGGTTCCTCGTTGGATTCCGTAACTTCTTCGGACTCTGAAATTGCCTCGGTGGTCGAAACTAAATCATCGTCGGTTTTTTCGCTCGTTATCGTGGTCGATGTCGGCAAAGAAGTCGTCGTCTTCTGGACCTCTCGAGTCGAGCCAGGATAATAAGACCCTTGGGAATTGTCTAAATTGTTAATCGCTTGGGCTATGAGAGACGAACTTTGTTTCATACGTCTGCCTTGGCTTTTTTTAAATTGTCCGGTATCGTTCTCGAGATCGTTGCGAGACTTCAGAGGTACCAAGAGCGGAGCCGAAGCAGAGTACGAGTACGTGGTTGTAGTCTGTTTATCGAAATCTTTTTTCGGAACGTGTTTTTTATCGTTCAAGCTATTGGTCGTCAAAGAAAATGGTCGCGGTACTCTGTCGTACTTTTGAACTATGGACTGTAATTTTTCATCGCTCCATTTCGTCGATTTGGCTTTAGCAGCGCCCGTCTGGGAATCGATCGTTTCACTAATATTTTTTCCATCGCTTCGATCGCCTTTGGAACCAAAAAGAAGAGGCTCCGCAGGCAGGGTAACTTCTTGATCTTTTTCGTATCTCTGGGTTGTTGTAGTCGTCGTCGTCGTCGTCGTTTTTTGCGTCACGGGAAAAATCAATCGTACGTTTTTGGATTCCTTGAAATTTTTGCCACGACGAGTCCTGGAAGGCGTCACCACCTCTACGGGACTCATGGTGGCTATGCGATCTTGAAAATAACGAAACATAAATAGTATGAAAATATTTTGCAACGAGTTTGTGCCAGCTAACGATGACTTATTTTTACCTGTTATCTGAGCGTTCGAGGGAACGTTCGTAGCCCGGGTACTTTTTGGATTAATTTTTTTCGACTCGTACACCAGCATCGACAGTGGATTATTCATATTGATGAAATTTTGATCCGAGTTGTAATCCTGCAGCGAGTCATCGTAGGGTCTCGACGTAACGATCTCCAAAGATCCGGCCGCGCTGGTTTTTCCCACGCACTGCGCAACGAAACGTCGTAAAAATTATAAATCTATATATACACGAAATGAAAATAATCGATATATATTTAAAGTGCAATTCGTACCAAAAACGCCAAGAGTAGTGTCGCGATCCCACGCTGCACTTGGCGCGGCTTCATGATCCGCTCGGTCTATAATCGCGAGATTAACTGAGATAAAAATCAGCCTCGTCGTCGATGGGTAACAATTATATCACGCGCCCGATACACGATTGACGAGTGCACAGCGCGCACAACGATGACTCGGCGCTTTTCGGGGCGCAAGTAGTAGTTTAGCAACTGCTGTGCATGGCTTCCTACTTTCTTTCCTTCAATTGCACAAGTAATCGCGTAGATATGCATGTATAATGCCGAATGCGAACGAATATCTATACGGTTTCTGTCTCTCGCTGCAGTTGACGCGACGTTATTATTGCCACATCGAGATCCTTTCGTCGAGAGGATAATTCGTAATGATGTCAACTTTTAATTTCGAGCTTCGTAACAAATGCAATGATCGAATTTAAGGTACGGTTCGATAATTCGGGTATAATTGCGTGTGTTAATTGGCACGCAATGAAGGTATTTTTAATCATGGGTTCTCTTCGAAAAAATTAAGTCGAAAATCAAGTAATAAAGTTTATTGTCAGCAATAAATATTAACACAATGATAAAATATAACTTTACAAATTATTTAAAAATATTTTATTATATAACTTCGATAAATTGTGCGATTTCACCATTGAATACCAGTAAACAAACGGGAAATTAATAACAGTTTCGTATCAATAATTGTAAGGAATAGAATTTGTATGAACTAAAATTATCCGTGGCCAAGAGTAAATTTTCTATGCCCATCGTGTTCGCCCTTTTTGGCGTGTCTAGCGTTGTCGTTGTGATAATGTAAATTTTTGTGCTGAACGTGATTATGATCGAGCTTGTGGAGATGCTGCTTATGATGAAACGAATTTTCATCGGTTTTCTCCGCCTATAAGTAGAAAAAAAAATTTTAAAAATAAAAAAATTTTCATTTATTTTATTTGGATAATATGAAAGCTCATCATACCTCAGATTTGGCATCTTTGTCGTGGCCGTTTTCGTGATGAGCTCCGGCGTGATCCTTGTGATCGTGATGGTGGCTGTGGTGATGCTCCTCGTCTCCGTCGTCGAAGAACTCGTCGTAAAAATCGTGCTTCTTGTCGTATTCATCCTACACGACGTCGAAATAACGATTAGCGTTGAAAATTAAAAAAAAATCACAATTTTACCCTCACAGAACGCACTGACAAACCTTTTTATGGATATTATGTTCACCCTTGGTGTTGTGGCCCTTCTGATGGTGTCCCTCCTCCTCGAAATCCTCGGATTTCGCTCCCTTCTCGCCCTGGTGATACTTGAGCTCGTAGCCGTGCGCCTCGTGCTCGCCTTTGCCGTCGGTGTCCTCCTTCTGGTAATGGTGGCCGTGATCGCTCTTGTCGTGGTGTCCTTTGTGGCCTTTGCTGTGGCTATGATGACTGTCGTAGCTCTATATATACGAAATAATAAATATAAAAAAAAATCTTAATGCGAAAGTATATTATGAGAATGACCTCGTGATCTTCCTCGGAATCGTCGTGATAATGTTTTTCCTTGTGCTCGTGTCCATCGCCTTGCTCGGAATCTTCCTCGGGATGTTTTTCCTCTTCTACAAAAAAATTTACATCTCTGTACAACTCCATAAAATACGCGTTCTAAAAAAATAAGCCTATATATACCGACTCTCTGAATTAGTCGCTGAAGTCTCCTGGTCCTCCCACTGCAATCTGAATCTCATCGGCCTGCTGTAAAATTTTCCAACGCCTTTGCACTCGACGACGATCAAGTGGCCGATCAAGAGACCAAGAACGACGAAGAGCACACCTCCGGGACGATCGCGCGTAGACACGAGCAATCGCATGTTTCGTTTACTTCGCTGCTTTATCGACTGCCGACTGTCGCGGATGCTACAAAAATTTTCAATGCACTTTTCACGCGTAGTAACACAATCGCGCCTGGACGGACTGTCGTTAATTGAAACGATATCCGCGGAAAAGAAAAGATCCGGAGTCTCTCGAGGCTCTCGCGCGCGATTAGATACGCCGTTTTGAGCACTTTCTTTCTGACTTATCAGCGATTCTTACTCTCTTTTCTAACGTCACCGCGGAGCAGCTGTTTGTGTCCGTCTGTGTATCGTGTGCGTGGTTGGGGCGTTTTTTACGAGGAAGCCCCGCGCGCGCCACAGAGAGTTAATACGATCGTATAATTGACTTCGACCGCACCGGTAAACGAGCTTTTTTGCGTGTGTCGTTTCCGTATATATATATGCTGCTCTCTTATACTCGCTCGTTTCGAATTTTAACGCTTCGTTTATGTGTATAGACGCGTTGAAAATTAATCGCTGTAGCGGATATCGTTTCGAATTGAACGACGCGAAATTCGAGTTATCGATTTTACAGAAATCTGCTCTATTTTACTTTGTTTGTTACTTTTTTATAAATATCTTCTAGTTTGTACGCAAAACAACATTTAAACAAAACAAAATTTCTCGTGGTGAAAAACTGTTTTTCCCGAAGATTCTTCGTTAATAAAAACCGAGGGAAAAAAATTTTTTTTTCAGCCTCCACCACCTGTCTGTACTGTGTACACAATATTTCCGTGTGCTTATACGCTCGTATTACGGAAACGGAACTCGTACAAGTAGCAATATAGATCCCATATTTACAGCCGTATACATTCACGGAGACTAGATGTTTACTCTGCATCGTTACGTTCTTTTCGCGTGTTTACGGATTTTCTTACGATTATCGTAGGATGTAAGAAAAATAATAAACAAAATGCAAGTTGAATCTACCCTCTTAACGATCGATTCGTTTACAGTTTCGAATTAAAACATGATAATTCGAATAAACGAGTGACGAAAATACAGTAATGATATGGACGATATATGGAGATGGCGCGATGGAATTGATTTGAAAAAAGAGACTTTATTTGCATTTCTTGTACGTAGTTTTAAGTAGAGCCATCGTGCGTTTACATTTTATGATACATTTTATTGTTTAAATTAGGCGCCCATGTTTACACTAGCCTTATAATTATAGTTGTCTATCACAGCACCTGGTTTCTGGCTGGGAGTGAACATTTTAATTTAACTATGAGTCAACGAAAATCAAATAAACTATTCTAGGAAAAGTATGCCTTATGCTTCGACTTATACATTCATTTTTACTTTGCCACTTGCGGATTTACAGATATAGGTACGTGGCCACCTAGTGGTGAAGACTTGAAGTAGTATCATCGTCACACAATGTAGTTGAAAGTTAGTCTAATTTTTGCGGAACAGTTGAAATGTTCATTTTTTTCTTCGCACCTCTACCTCAGAGACTAAAGCAAACGGCGGATCAACGGATAGCGATATCCCTCGCTTATACAACGCGTTTAAATTACTTTCTCGATATATTATATGTAAAGCAACGACAAAAACAAATTAACAATAAGAAGACAAACAAGACGTCACGAGGATGCAACAGACGCGCGAGAGGCACTGCAAAACTTCGTCAAGTCGAAGTCGAAGTCGAAGTCGATGACGTATCGAAATAGTGTCGATATACGACGATGATACGCGAGCTAATACGCGGGGCGACCCGTGCACACACGCAATCGCAGCTACGTGCGACGACGACAAACGCAGCACGAGAGCTTCTCCGAGCTAATACCAACTAATTCGATTTAAGCTACTCATCCCCCAAGAGAGAGAGAAATAGAACTAAATACTCTCGGCTGGTATAGTTCAAGTTTTCATGCAGCAGCAGCAGTGGCAGTCGTCCGCGCGCTAGCGCGTGAGAATATCAACCCACAGCTTCGTATAGAGAGAGAGAGATACTTATAAAGTTGTAATCGAGTCCCTTATTCCCTTATCCCGTTAACGATCTTGGCCGTAATTATAAAAGAAAAGAAGCAAAATGACGATCGGAAGCGATAACGGTAACGTTAAAGAGGTGGAAGCAGCGGCCGCGGATAAATCGACGACGAAGACGCGCAAGTACAACTTTCACTTGCCGAAAGCACTGAATCACGAGGAGAAGAAGTATCTGCTGTCGGTGGAGCGGGGTGATTTGGCAAACGTACGCAGGATACTGCAGGCCAGCCACAAGTCGTCGGTAAGCTGCACATATAATTTATTTTTTTTTTTGTTCATAAAATTGAAATGAAAATGAAAACAAAAAAATGTTCGTATTTGTTTTAATTTATTTTTTTATTATTATCATATCTATCGTACATTGACACATCGAGACTCGCTTCTGCCCGCAGTAGCACCAAGCTCGGTAGTAATCGGTTATATATACCGGTCACCTCCGTAACCGGTATTCTCCCATCATCATCTTTTCGCACAAACGCGCGTCGCAAGCCTCGCGAGTCGCCTCCGACAGTCGCATCAGTTCGTTCGACCTCGCGAATTCCAGATAGTCCTCTAAGGTCAGTCGCTTCTCCGCCTCTTCGATCGGCGATCGAGTCAGATCGTAGAGCGTAATCGAACCGATCGTCATCTTCTTCTCCTCGATCAGCGACCTCTCGTCGTCGCGCCAACGTCTCTCCAGCTCCATCGACTTCCTCCTGTCGATAATTATCTCGTGCTTTTTGAACAGTCTCCTTATCGTCCGGATGTCCTCGCGGCTCGGCCGGTATCCTCTGTCCTGCAGCAGCTCGACGACGAAGCCCACCAGCGAAGCCAGTTTCAATTTGGAAAAATCCCAGGGATAATTCTTCGGATCGAATCTCTCGCCGAGTCGATGATCCAGCGCGTTTAAGCACGAGGCGCCGTGATCCAGGAGTATCTCCACCTGATCCGGCCAGAGTTGCGCCACGGCCATGTCCAGCGCCGTTCGACCCCCGTTGTCCGGCCTGTCGACCTCTATCGGCCGATCGATCTCGCTGGCGATCTTGAAAAACGTCTGCAGCGCGTCGTCGTTGTCGCCGTCGCGCGAGTGGTACCACCTCCAGCCGCAGATCGTGTGCAGAGGAGTCTCTCCCTCTTGATTAGCTAAGTTAGGATCCGCGCCTCTCTTCAGCAGTAGCTCCATCGCCTGCTTGTGGCCCAAGCGCAGGGCCATGTGCAGCGGCGTGTCGCCGGACTTGTCTCGAGCGTCGATCCGCACCTTCCGCCGGATATCGTCGCAGATCCTCAAGAACCACCGCAACAAGCCCTTGTCCTGGTGTCTCGCGCAAACCAGATGCAGAGGCGTCAATCCTCGGTGATTGGCTCGATTCGGATCGACGACGCCTCGTCTCAGCAACAATTCGGCTACGTCCAATTGCCCACCGATCAGAGCGTAGTGCAGCGGCGAGTCGACCCTCGTCGATTCTCCAGGCAGCATCCGGTAGAGCCAGAGGAGATTATTCACGGCCCGTCGGCAGCCGGCCATGCAGGCCGCGTGGAAGTGCGTCAGTCCATCCCGATCGCTGTAGTCCACGTTGACGTTGTCGTATATCTTGAACAGATCGGGTACGACTCGCGGTAAGTTGCACCTGACCGCGTGATGTATCGGCGTGGCGCGCAACTGTAGCGGCTGTCTCTCCTCCTCCTCCGAGAGTTCGTCCTTGTAGCCGCATTTTATGACAAAGTCCAGTACGTTGGTGGTTTCGAAGAATCCGTGAGCTTCGACGCTCGTCACGTACGCCCTGAGAAGCCACTCCACCTGATCGCGATAGAATATCCTTCGAAGATCGGGATAAGGTCCTCGCCAACAGCTTAGATAGGGATCGAGCTCGTGCGGTTCGATACCTCGTTTGGCTTTGATCGCGCCGACGACCGCGTCGCGCAGCCCCTCCAATTTTTGCAAGTTCGCAGCAGCTTTGCCATTGATGTCGCAGTAAAAATCGTCGTTGGACATCTTTTTAACGCATCGCACGCACAATGGTTTATAAACGATCTATACACAATTTATTATACAGTAGAGTACAAACATCTGTCGGCGAAACTGTTATGACAGATGGTTTTGACAGATAAGCGCGCACAGTGAGAGGTACGCACAGAGTTATGCAACGCTATATATATAATTTTTTGCTCACTTATAGGTTATAGATAATGCACTAATTTGAGAGCGTTAATTACTCGAATTCGCAATTAAATAAATCTAAAATCTACCACTGATTAATCCCGAGTATTTGATATTTTCGATCGCAGCACTATTCGAGGCCGATGTGCACTTGTGCCGATTGACTTTCGAGGGCCGAAAACAGTCCCGAATGAAATACGAGACATTCGAAATTCGCGATAATCAAAAAACTGACGTCTCTGTGTATGACCTGGTTTCTTTTTTTGGAACGGTGGCGCAGGCGCGGCATCAGTCATTTTTGCGCGAGAAATTGCGTAGGCGGAGAACGTCGGCGGCGAGCTCGCAGAATTGACATTTTCGACATACCGTATAGCAGACGGTCAAGTGCAAAAAACGCGCCGTATTTGAATCGTTCGTATTTTTTTTTTTAATTCTACATTTAAAAAAAAATCTATTATAATCGGCGCAGACGATCGACGTGAACTGCGTAGACAGCCTGGGCCGGGGCGCGGTGAGCCTGGCCATCGAGTCGGAGAACCTGGAGATGCTCGAGCTGCTGATCGTGATGGGCGTCGAGACCAAGGACGCGCTGCTGCACGCCATCAACGAGGAGTTCGTCGAGGCCGTCGAACTGCTGCTCGAGCACGAGGAACTGCTGCTCACAGCTGGAGCCGATCATACCGGCGGCGGCGGAGAAGTCCTGCACAGCTGGCAAAAGGTCGACTCCGCTCTGGCGCGCTACCCGCCAGACATGACCCCCCTCATGCTCGCCGCCCGCAAGAACAACTACGAGATCCTCAAACTCCTACTGGACCGAGGCGCCACTCTGCCCGTGCCGCACGCGCTCCGCTGCGCCTGCGAGGACTGCTGCTCGCGGACCGGCGACCCACTCCGCGCTTCGAGCGGCCGCCTGGCCGAGTATCGAGCTCTGGCCAGTCCCAGCCTCATGGCCCTGAGCTCGCCCGATCCCCTCATGACGGCCTTCCGACTCAGCCACGAGCTCGGCGAGTTGGCCGCCGCAGAGCCCGAGTCGTCGCGCGAGTATCGCGAGCTCCGCGAGCAGGTCGAACGATTCGCCGTGGACCTGCTGCGGCAGACCAGAAGCTCCTCGGAGCTCAACACTCTGCTGAACCACGTGGATCCTCGTTGTAGCAGTAGCCAAGACGATGGCGGCGGGACGAGGCTCGAGCAGGCGGTGGCCTACAGGCAGAAGAGCTTCGTCACGCATCCGCACGTGCAGCGGCTGCTGTCGGCCATCTGGTACGAGGCGGTGCCCGGTTTTCGCCGGATGAGCGCGCCGAGGCAGGCCTGGACGATCCTCAGGACGGGACTGATGTTTCCGCTGTACTGCTCGATGTGCTGGCTGACGCCCGACACGAGGTTAGGCAGACAAGCCCGACAGCCCTTCGTCAAGTTCATCGTGCACGCCTCGTCGTATGTCTTCTTTTTGCGTGAGTCGTACATTATTATACATTAAGATAATTTCATTAAAAAAATGACTATCGATAAAGAGTCTTGAAATTTTAACCTCATATTATTGACAGTGCTTTTCATATGTGTGAGAAATTTCAGGAACTTTAACCAAACCATTTCCGAAATATAATTAATCAAAGTTCGGTACTTTAACATGGGATCCCTATGCTAGCGTGTCGAAATGACGCTATTTTGTGTGATTATAAAAAAACGCATCGATAAAATCTTTTCAAAAACTAGGAGATGATTGTTCAGTATGTACTAAAATATAGCTCAAAAATTGGAAAAACTTGACCAAACAGTTTTTAAGAAAAGTTAATGTAAAAACATTGCAAAAATAAAAATTTAAACTTTTTGACCTAACATCCACTTTTTAAGGTTTTTAGGATCATTTCAAACAAAAAAGTGCTCTTGCAAATTTTCTGTAAAATCTATTGTTCACGAGCTATAAACGATTCAAATTTAAACAATTTCAAGCAATGAATCTTTTTCGATTTTTTATCTCAATAAGCATGAAATTTTAAAAGAACAAAAAAGTCTTAGAATTTGTCAAGGAAAGCGTATGAATTTTTTCAGATTTTTTCTAGACATATGCCAAAATTTGTCGGTCAGGTCTGAAGGAACTAATACCTTAATTGTATCGTAAATCGAAGTATAATTGAGAAAAACGTTTTGGGTGCCCCATAGTCGTGCTGATTCTGGTATCGCAGAGATTCGAGGAGGAGACGATCGTCGGCTGGTTCGATACGGACGACGCGCTATCGAACGAAGCAGCAGCAGCAATACCGCAGAGGCAACGAGGACTCGGCCCGTCGTTCCTCGAGTGCGTCGTGCTGCTCTACGTGGTGGGTTTCATCGTCGAGGAGATTCGCGAGGTGAGGCACATACAATATCGATTATAACAAATCCTCTCCCTCGATTTGTAAGGCTATACGCGTGTAGAAACGCGAACCTCGTGTAATCTCGTTTAGCCGCGCGCGCGAGATTATCGTGTCAAAGTCGCGCGCGAGTACATAAAGCGATTTATGCATCTTTTTTTTCTCTGTATAGGTCTGGGTCGTGGGTCTACGAGCTTACCTGCGCAACCTCTGGAACTTTATCGATTTCGCACGCAACACCCTGTACGTGGCGGTGGCGATCTTGCGCACGGCGGCCTACTTCCAGCAGCGGGCCGAGATCAGCGAGGACAGGTCCGCGGCGCAGATAGCCCGCGAGAACTGGCCCGACTTCGATCCGCAGCTGGTCGCCGAGGGCCTGTTCGCCGCCGCCAACGTGTTCAGCGCCCTCAAGATCGTCCATCTGTTCAGCGTCGATCCGCGCCTCGGCCCGCTGCAGATCTCGCTCGGCCGCATGATCAACGACATCGTCAAGTTCTTCTTCATTTACACGCTGGTGCTGTTCGCGTTCGCCTGCGGCCTGAATCAGCTGCTGTGGTATTACGCCGAGCTGGAGAGGAAGAAGTGTTACGCTGGTGAGGGGGACTGTCAACACTGGAGGAGATTCAGCAGTTTGTGGGAGTCGTGCCAGAGCCTGTTCTGGGCGAGCTTCGGCAGCGTCGGCATCGACAGCTTCGAGCTCGAGGGCATCAAGAGCTACACGAGGTTCTGGGGTCTGCTCATGTTCGGCTCGTACTCGGTCATCAACGTCATCGTTCTGCTGAATCTACTGATCGCCATGATGAGCAATAGTTATAGCATCATCGAGGTATACTTTTTTACCTTTAATACCCCTACGGAAATTCATCGACACTCTAATTCTCCTCTAATTCTCTACTTCACTCTAATTCTCTAAGTCTGAATGAGTATTAAAATTTCTTATAAAGTTTTATTAACTTATAAATAAATTTTAAAAATTTATGTGAAACGTGATATTTGGTTTCCGAAGTATTTACGCGGGTAAGGCAATCGCTTATTAAATTCAAAAAAACGTTTACAAGTGATATTAATTGTTCTAAAGAGTTATTTAGAGTTATTAAGAGTTATTAAGTGTTGATAAAAGTTTTTAATATTTTTAAAAACTTCTTTAAAGTCATTGATCAGGTGTATGAAATCCGAACATTTGTAAGAATTGTTAATGCTTTTTTAAAATTTCTAAAACTTTCTCATGAGAAAAATTTCCTTCAGGGTATAATTTTACCATATTTTATAAATGTAACATATTCTATCTTTAATAAATAGGAACACGCCGACATGGAGTGGAAATTCGCCCGTACGAAGCTGTGGATGAGCTACTTCGAGGACGCCGGGACACTGCCGCCGCCCTTCAACGTACTGCCGCGGCCCAAGCTGCTGCTCTCTTGTTGCGGTTGCGGTGAAAAACGAACTCGGCAGCGACGCAACAACAACAGCTTACGAGGCCGCGACATCGAGCACAGGTAAGTGTGAAACATTTTTACGACGACGATGGTTTCGCCAATTGACACACGTGTTTACAATTCTGACCGATCAGTCAGTACACGTTGCGCCGCAGCAGCGTAAACAACAAAGTCGAGATATTATATCGTGTATCGTCTGCAGCAAGTGATTTTCGCGCATCGAAGATGCCCAACGACGACAAATTCGACGTGTACCTCATGTACGGCGGAGCAGCAGCAGCAGCCGGGGGTGATCGGTACGACTTGAATCGCGAGATCGCGAATCACTTCGAGACAATCGCGAACCTGCTGAAGTTGAAGATGATGCGCGAAATGGTCGTTGCGAAGATGGAGGAAGATCGTCGAGAGAATAAGAGCTGTAGCGAGAACGAGAGTAGTAGCAGCAGTAGTAGTAGTAGCGACGAAGCCGACGACGACAATCGTCTCGCCGACTTGGTCAGAGACTGGGAGGGCCAATACCCGGATCTTCGCAAGATGTTCGATCGCGAACAGATGGATTGGCTTCTCAAGGAGTACGCGTCCTCGGCGACCGTGCTCGGATTCGTGGTCGGATGCGGCTACAGAGACGAGCCCGAGCCGGACGAGGACGGCAAGATTGCGTTGAATCGCGTGACACCCGTGCATCGGGCGTTCGGCCAGGAAGAGTACGACTGCGTCCCCGAGCTCTTCAAGATATACAAGTACGATGTGAATTACATCGACGAGAGATCCGGCCTGACGCATTTTCACGTGGCCTGCGAGTACGGCCTCTCGGACGTCGTCGAGAAATTTCTCCGACACGGCCAGGATCCCGACTGTCTGCCCGTTCGATCGACGGTCGATCCACCGCTGCACTTGGCGCTGATGAACGACGAGCGAAAAGTCGTGGAGCTGCTGCTGAGGGCGGGGGCCGATCCGAATCTGGCCAACGCCGAGGGCGAGACCCCGCTGCACGCGGCCGGCCAGAGAGAAAACGACGACGACTTGGAGCAGGTGTTTTTCGATATCGACGACGCGATCAGGCGGCGGGTGCGAGTCGACGCTCGGGACAGGTCGGGCAACGCGCCGCTCCACCTGGCCCTGGCCAATTACGCCAAGAGCCTGGCCGAGCTGCTGCTGCGTAACGGCGCCGATCCCAATCTGGCCAACGACGCAGGAGAGACTCCTCTGCACGTGATCGGCAAGGATCGCGACGACGCGCACGAGTTGGCCAGGATGCTGTTCGAGATCAGCGACGAGAGGCGAGTGCGGGTCGAGGTCGATGCCCGGGACGAGTCGGGCCGGACGCCTCTTCAATGGGCCGTGGCCAATTTGGTGCCCAAGACCGTCGCGGTGCTCCTGGAACGCGGCGCCGATCTGTCCGCGTTCCGTTTCCCGACCGAGGATTATCTCTTCCGGGATTATTTTTCGTTCATGCATCCCGCGAGTTCGAGAGCGACGGCCGGCGCTCTGGACGTTCTGGAGCGCCTCGAGAGACGAGGATACGAGCCGGACCGTGGCGACGTCCTGACGATCATGAAGCTGTTCGCCAAGCACAAGGCGTTGGAGAAATCGGCGGCCGAACTCGACGAATCCAGCTGGATGGACGATCAACGGTTCGCCGACAGAGCGAAAAAGATGAAGATCGCCGATTCGGACCTCACGCTCTACGATCTGATCCGATTGCCGGCCTGCGAGGCGGCGAGACTGCTTCCACCCAGAGGCGACTACCTCAAGTTCATGTACTTGCTCGATCTGTGGAAGCTTCCGGACGAGCACAAGCAGGCCACCGCTCGGCGTCTGTGCGAGGCGATGTCGAGGCGATTCTTTCGACGATGGGCCACGACGTCTCTGATGGAGCTCGTCGAGGGGACGCGGCGGTATCGCTTGCCGATTCTCTGCTGCGACATGATCGCCGAGCTGCTGGACAACGAGGACTCGTGGCGCGTTTGCTTGGCGGCCGCGGGACAGAGCTTGCCCACTAAAAGTGTTCAAAAATCGATATAAATCGATATAAATAAATAAATAAATAAAATGAATTCGTTAATTTTCTCAATCGTAAAGACGTTGTTTCGAGTTTTGACTTTTTCACCTCCTCTTGTATGATACACGTAGGTACGGCTCGGTGATGAAGGCGCTCGTCTGGCGATACGTCGTTCACGCGCACTCGGAGCAGGAGTCGTCGGAGCCCGTCACCGAGGACCACGTGAGCGATCTCAAGGCCGACCTGTCGGCTTGGCGCTGCGAGCTGCTGGAAATTCTGCGAAAAAACGGAATGGATACCAGTGCCGCCAGCGACGTCGAACAAAGTGAGCCACACCACGTAATATTCTTGCTTTGATTCACGATAAGTTTATCGATGATAATTTTTTTTTTAGTAATGCCAGCGAAGAAGACTCGCGTGTGGGAGCGCAGACTCATGAAGGACTTCCGCGTGGCCAACAGCAACAACAACAACAACGACGAGGACGAGGAGGAGGAGATCGGCAGGCTGCAGCGGGTGCCGGAGAACGAGGACGTGGCCGCGAAGTGGCGGCGCGTGGCGCGCCTGGCGCTGCTCCGGTCGGCCGAGCGACGCTGGTATCGCGCGGTCGACGGCACCCTGAGACAGTCGCAGATCGGCCGCGGCAACGATCGCGCCTCGCTCAAGAATCAGGCCGATCTGAGGATGACCATGGAGGCGGCGAGGCGTTACTGCTGCTCGGCGGCCGAGAATGGGTGCCCGAGTCCGCCGAGGACGCCGGCCCGTCTGCCCGGCAGCGGTGTCATCGATCCCGCGAGGATTCTCAGGGTGTTCAAGGCACCGGAGCAGGAGCGGTACCAGACGCGATCGCCGTCGCCGTCGTCGTCGCCTCTGCCGACGATCGGTAGTAGAGCGACGAGAAATCAGCCTGGAAGTTCGGCACGGGTACGGTATATGATCGGTATTATTTAAAGCACCGAAGTTTATCGAGCTGATCGTGGATTTTCTTGTTCAATTTTATTTTAGATAATTTACGAGAACGAGCAGCAGTGCCAGGATCCCAAGTCAGTGACAACGACGTCGCGCATAGCCAAGCGCAAATCTCCGGCTCCACCCGTGCGAGCTAAATCTCCCGATGTATCGAGCCAGTGTCATCCAAAATCATCGAGATCGAAAAGTCCGACGACGACAACTTCGATCCCTCAGCTCGTAGTTAGCCCACCGGACAGCGCCAATTTCAGAAGAAGTTCGCCCAGAGTTTCGCCTAGAGTCTCGCCTAGAGTATCGCCCAGGAAAAATCGTGTATGGCTGTAATGGACATGAAACTTTTCTAGTCTCATTGTTGATGTTATTGATTGTTATATAGTCATTGTTATATACTCATCTTGAATTAAGATTGAAATATGTTACTTAGCTAGAACAAAAAATGTGCCTTTTAGAAATAAAAAAATCTTTTATTTTTGAATGATTTGAATGAAAATTTCTTTTTTTTTTACCCTTTTCGTCTAATGTACAATAAAATATTATTTCTAACGTACTACAATGTAATTATATATGTGCAGAGTGAAAGAAATTCAAAAATTGATGAACATTTTATTGCTAAGAATATTTATTTTTAACTGCAACAAGGCAATATATAAATACTTCTAAAATAAGTAAAACTCGAATAAGGTATTACTTTCACATTCATACGCACGTTTACACAATACTTCTTATTTTCAATAATAAAAATGCAAATGAAAATATATAATTTAACCGCCTCGATGGACAATTGGCGGCTGCTTGAGATTATCTCTCTTGTCGTTATAAAAAATTACTGATTATAAACTTTATTTATATATATATATATCAATACCAGCTGAATGGATTTTCTCTCTTAACCCGCGTGAACGACCTTGCTCTGTTTGTAGGTCGATTTTTTTTGTGCACAATTGATTTTGTCACCGAGCGACAGGGCCATGCCTTGGCTCTTGGCCCGAATACGTATGTGGCCAACGATCGGGGCGTCGTCCGGCTTATTCAGAGGCTTTTCGATCGACAAATTAGCCAGGGCGTCCTCGCCGAAGATCGATTTGGCATACATATTCGCCGCCATGAAGCCGCATTGTCCAGACAGCGCCTGGAATCGATGAAAACATTAGTACTCGGTTATGATTCGAAGAAATCAAAATTTGCAGCGTATGACCCACCTTTTCTGGAGTAAGGCAGCGCATATTCGTATTCTTGAGCAGTTGAGCCAGATAAGCTCTGAGGTCCGACATATTCGTATGGACGGACACTTTGTTTTCCCATTCGAATTCGGCCCACATTTTCCGGAACTCAGTGTCCGTACACGTAGCGGGAACGATGTAGTCCATTATGTCGATATGAATGTCATTTAGTACAATCACGCTCCTGTCCGACGCTGCCCCCGTAACATCGTAAACTAGAATTGAAAAATTTCAACGTATGCGTAAGTTGACTATTGTAACGAGTAAAGTTATCCTACAACTGTTACTGAAAGCTCACCGATGTTGCCGAAAATAACGCCATTCTCCGTCGACGCAACCTTGACGTTCGCCTTGATACTGGCAAAGTCTCTGGGAGCCAGCACGATGGGTTGAGGTCTCTCGACCAGTTTCAGATCGCCCATCGTCGCCAGTTCCAGGGTGCAGTTTTGCAGGGTGTCCTCCGTTTGATTGACGACGAGCACGTCGAGAACGATGTCGTATTGATTGACGTGAACGAGCGCCTCGGCGTAGACGGGATCGGAGAATCCCGTGAGCTGCGTGACTTTGCTCAGGGCGTTCGGGGTCGGGAGTTCCTTTTCGCCGCCAGCTCGACCGGCGACCGCTGCACTGAGACTCTGCTCGAAAACATCGCCTGTGCCGTCGGACAGCTCGGAGCCCTTGGTCAACTGAAGGAACGAGATGGGATCGTCCACTTGCACCACGTTACTGGGCTTTTCCTTAGCCTGAAAAATATTATTTTTCGTTACGAATTGAAACACCGATCGTTATGCAACTTTTTGTAATACCTTCTGATTTTGTGTCTCTTCATCGGCTTTGGCAGTAAGCATTTTGCCTAAAGCATCCCGACAGCCATGCGTAAATACATTCTCCACTACCGTTGTTGGGCAAGCCAATGATCTGAGACAGATGGAAATTCTTTCCACATCGTCGTGGGTAATGGCTTTGGTGGGCAAACCAGAACGACCAAATTGCAAAAGACTCGACATGATAAGCATGGATTCAACCTGCATCTTTTTGCTTTTCTTAGAGTCTTTTTCCAATTCTTTATAACGTAGGGCTAATTTTGATAATGTAGTGGATAGAGCTGCGGAAATGAAAAAGTCTCCATCCATCATGTACTGAACTAAAGCAGGGCGTTTTTCTTCTTTCTTTCCTGTAAAAGCACAAATAAAACGGAAGATAAGATAAAATGGTTTGGCAGGTATTTGGTTGCTTGATATATTTTAAAAATCAAGTTCATTAATACCTGATGAGGCTGTACTGAATGCACTTTGAGAAGCATATGTTCCATCAGATGTGACTAACTGTGCTGGATTAGCTTGCATATTTTCATCTCCTTCTGTTGTTGTCTCTCCAGCGTGCCTTTTATTTTCAGCATCGATCAGTGGTAAATCACCAAGAACAGATCTAATACGCACCATAACATTCTCTATATCATCTCTTGATGTTGCATACTCTCCTAAAATCCATAGAGCTCCTCTATGAATATTGACAGACCGAATTTGTGAGAATACCTAAATCATAAAACGTGTTATAAAACTCATTTTGATATTTACTTAACTAACTTTTACCTCAAGTAATTTTTCAATTATGATTGGCCTCAGATTATCAAATCGTTGAATAACTTCACGAATAAATACAAGTACATCACTTGATGCTGCTTCATTATTTTCAGATAGGAATTCTGTTAAAACTGGAATAACTGTACTTGCTACATCTGGGAATTTGATAGAACATGAATGTAAAGTTTTAACAAGAAGTTGTCTATATTTATTAGCGTCTTCTTGGCCTCCACCAGTGGATCTGACTATTTCTTTCTTTAATAGCTGTACCATTTCATCTATGGTTCTTGATGTAACTAAATCCATAGCCAGAGCCAGAGTTTTTGTTCGCACTTCTAATGCTGGTGAACCTTTACATTAAAAAAATATTTAAATGATGAACAGAACTCATTGTAGACTTCAAAGTATATGTACAAAATAGATTAAATTTTTACCCAATACGCGCAGAATATCCATAACAAGATCTTGCAAAACTTTTTCATGATTGGGATTTTCTTTCATTGCAACTAATCTGTCCAAAACAATGAGTTTTACATTGTTGTCACTCTCCTTCACAACTAACTCAATATAACAAGAAGCAGCAGCTTTAATAGCAGTTGGAGCACTTGAAAGGGTGATCAAAGTACCAGCTGCCTCATAGCGTACAGCAGCACTTGGCGAATTTAACAAACTATAAATACATCTGATAAAGCGAGCCCGCTCAGCTGGATTGGCTAGACACACCTGCACAATTCAATGAATTATAAACTTGACCTTACATGACGTATGTTTTAATATTCAACAATGTTATGTATTTTTACCTTATAGATAAGTTCTACAATAACCAGTTGTAGTATATCTCCAAATGTTGGTACTTGATCTAAACAAGCGGCCAAATAAGACAGTGCCTTGCTTTGATCAGCGTGAAGCAGCATGAGAAAAGCATTTCTTCTGCAAGACATATCTTGTTCGCTTTCCAAATATTTTGCTATTAACTCTGGTGCATCGGGTATCAAAAATTCAAAATTTCTGTATATGGTAAATATAGCAAGGACAGCATTGCGCCTCACATAAGAGTGCCTGTGTTCCAAGCAGTTAATGATGGCTGGCATCAGCGGCTCTAAAAGTTCTGGCTCTTTCAATTTACACAAGAACCTGTAATACAAATATAAATACCGTAAGAAACAGATTGGCTCGCATAATTCACAGTACAAAGAATCGCTGAAATTCACCTGAGCGTGGATCCTCTAACGAATTCGTTGGGATGCTGCAGATCCTTTCTGTAGGCGTCGCAGACGAGAATCATCTCTTGCATGAGCTTGCCATCCGCGGTAGTTTTGGGCACGATCTCCCAGAAGATGAGCAGCAGCTTCTTGATGGTGTGGTCCTGCAGCGGCAGGACGAACCTGATGATGGTCATGAGCAGGCCCGGCAGCCGCTCGCCGTTGATGATCATGTGAATGGTCTTCTTGAGGGCCTCGGTCTTGACCGCGACGTTGCCCTTCTCGAGGTCCTGCTTGAGCTGGAGCTCGTTCAGCGGCTCCGCGTCCACGGGTATGTTTATGAGCGTGTAACACGCCTGATCAGCGACGCTGCTCATGATGCTTGCCAAATCGGTACCTTTCTCTTTTCGACCCTTTTACCTTTACACGGAGACGCTCTGTAAGCAATATAATAGAGTTGACAGATTTTCAGACACGACACACACGCGAGTCACACGCAACACACTGCACGAGTAATTAAAAAAAAGAAAAAGTGACGTGTTCGAAAGGGCACCCGCACCGCGACAGACAGACAGACGGACAGCAGTTGTTGTTTCGCAAAAGGTTATGTTATCAGAACCGGGCCGAGTGGGCGACAGCTGTTCGCGCGTACGTTTAAAGGTATTATAACGAATTGGGTCGGACCCTACCTTCAGGTGCGAGATTACGGGATGCTCCTCCGAACTACTGGGCAAGTCCGTCAGACGGTTGACATTTAAAGGTTTGTATTTTCGCGATGCTACTTATGGCATACGTGTCAGGCGCCTCTGATGCGTGCAGCCTGTGTTGCAGATTATACAGTAAAGTCAGCAGCAGCAGTGGTCGTGTATATAGTCGTCGTCAGTAGAATAATATACACGTAAGTCGGAATGTTGTCATGTGTGCGTATTTTTTTTTTCTGCTGTGTAGACAGCGGAGTTATGAATGATAAGCAGTGCGCCGCGAATATACGCGTATAGCGATGATCGATAAGAAAGTTTACAGCGGCGGTCGCGAGTGTTTGACAGATCGGCCGCGAGATGTAGCTCGGTTTCGCGATAAATTGGCGCGTTGGTTACTTCGAAAGCTACTAATTGGAAATAAATCGAACGAATTTATTGTCAACACAATGACTATTTACACATGTCAATAGTGACAGGCAAGATTTTCGAGATCAATAACACAGTCATCTTTACATACACGACGATGCCGATAATAGCCATTAGATGTCGTATGCCAATTTGCTTGTTTTTTCAAATCAAATCAAATGAAAATTCAAGCCACCAAACTACGTTGTTCGGCACATTAGCGCTCGGCATTTTTGACTCCATGGTTTCTCCAACATGAGATTTTTACGCAATACTCCTGAATAGATTTCCTTCTGATTGATGTAAATTATAAGTAAGGAAAATTTTAGAAGAACATTATGGAAAACACGTCTGACTTTGAGGCCGCTTTTCCGGGTGAAAAATACATTGTTTTGGAAAATTAATATCACCATCGGAAAGAGCAGGCAAAAATCTATCGATTTGCATATACGAAATATTTTTCCAACGTCACTGGTGCTCGTGCTAGCGAATTAAAAAAGCCGGTACGCGTGTGGCCGTATTTACTTTACGTAGATCTGACACGACTCGATGTCGATAAATTGATCGTAGCACGAGCTGCGCGCATCGAAAAAGGCGATGCACGCACAGCACGCTAAAACGCAAAGCATGGACGCGCCGAGAAACGTAGAGCAGCGGCATCGATTTACATGAGGCGCTCACCGCTTTCTCTGATGTAGTGTCGCTCTTTTATGAGTAGGTGGCTTATCACAGTTTCGGGTGCTGGTGTGCGTCGCGTTATGTGGTGTACATGTTTCCCCGTGTAGACAGCAGAATATGAATGGTAATAATACGCCGCGAATATCCACGTAGCGATGATCGATAAGAAAGTTGTAAATAAGAAATAGTAGACTTTTTTTTGGTGATAGTAAAATATGTTCATTATACACCTGATTGACAAAAGAAACTTCTATCGAAGCTTTGAAATACCACTTACATCCTTTTTTTTATAATACTAAATATTGTGTTACAAATCACTTGCCGCATGATCAATGAGGTCTCAAAATCTTCAGAAAAGTATCCTCATTCACTTGAGTGTAGCAGAATTTCGAAAAATTGCGTACAACTTTATATACATGTTAAAATGTGCCAATTTTTAAGAAAATCAATATTTTATCAGCACTAAATGCCATATTTAAGTTCTTGAAAGAAAAGATAACTTTATACAAAAACCTATCAAGCCTCACGGCTTCAATTTTCAGGTCAACGGCTGCAGCGCAAGCGCCAGTTTGTCTCCACCCATTTTTAAAAAGAGAAAGTGCTATATACCTACACGAGGAAAAAACCATAAAGCAGCCTCGATCGCGTGATCATTGACTTCATACGTGTATACGAGCGTGTGGACGTGTTCATTCATAGACTCAATGTATAATATCGTAGCGCAGTGGAGACAGTACAAGGAAGAAAAACAAAAGTGTGCATCGAGTGATTTTTATTTAAAATATTTGAAATCGTAAGTGACTGTGAGTTGTGAAACAATGGCCCATTATCTCGACGATTGCGAAAAATTAGAAAGATTGCAGGCCTTGCGAGAAAATGTCGATTGGGAGCTGGCGGAGGAGCGACATCGATTTCTCGAACGACTCTATCCCGTGGTCGTTTGTTGGTACTACGAACTTCCAAACCTGCGCGACATCTTTCGAGAGGATGAGATAGAACGTCTTCTCTTGGATTCTTCGGATTTGAAGAGCGATCACAATGACTTCTACTACAGCAATGCAGCAGGAGAAGCATTCATCGATTTCGTAGCTTGCACCGGCTACAGACATCGGGCCCGATTCGACGAGCACGGCAAGCAACTGCTGATCAATCGCACAAGTCCGCTGCACCGAGCGTCCAGAGTCACGCTAAAGTTGCGCACCATCGAGGTTCTTTTTGAAATTTACGACGACTTCCGGGTGAATTACGTCGACGAGGAGACCGGCCTCACACATCTGCACGTGGCCTGTCAATACGGCTTCGACGACGTCGCGAAAAAATTTCTCGAGCTCGGCCAAGTCGATCCCAATAATTGCCGGGAGAAAATGACCGGCGACTCGCCGCTGCACGTGGCGCTACGACACCAGAGAGCCGAAGTCGTCGAAATGCTGCTGAGCCAAGGCGCCGATCCTTATTTGGCCAACGATAAAGGAGAGACTCCTCTGCATGTCATCTCCAATGTCGAGAATATCGACGAAAGCGTCGAGGAGATGTTGGTAGAGATGATAGAGAAGAAACAGGAGGAGATCGACGATGCCCGGAACGAGGAAGGAATCAACGTTCGAGACGAGGAGGGTAACACGCCGTTGCACTTGGCCTTGGCCAAGAGTCGCAAGAAGGTAGTCGAGTGGCTGCTGAGACGAGGCGCCGATCCCAACGCGGTCAACGATAAAGAAGAGACTCCTCTGCACGTCGTTTGCCAGAGAGTCGACGTTCGCAGCTACGACGCGGATGGGACGGCGGTCCAAGCCGACGAAGCCAATAGTTTGCCGTTGCTGGAAGATGTAGACCGCATCGTGGACGACGCCTCGTTCCAAAGTGTGCACGAAATGTTATCAGCTGATTATTATCAGCAAATAGCTAACCGTACAGATGCCTTTTTAAATTTCCAATTTGGATTATATTCATACGAGATAGCCAACGACGACAACGTAAGTGTTCGGAATAATTTTCAGAGTAATAATGTATGTGTAAATTCCATTAAAACACTGGATAGCTTGTTGAGCGAGTCAAATCGAAACTACGAAAAGCAGATAGTCCAAGCGCTGCTGGGACGCGGCGCAGATCCGAACAAGGTCAATGGGAAAGGATGGACCCCGCTGCAATTAGCCGTGGCGAATCTCTCGCCGCATATCGTCGATCAACTCTTGAATGGTGGCGCCGATCTCTCTGGCTTCGTCTTTCCCATCGCTGGTCATTTCGTCAAGGATGGCTCGATACCGCGATATCGTGGAAGGCCGCGCGACTTCGAATTGACTCTAGCGTCCGGCGCACTAGTCGTCCTCGATCGCTTGGAGAAAAACGGATACGAGACGACCCCCAGCGACGCACTGTCGATCATGAGATTTTTCGCCAGGTACGAATTGTTCGAGGAGTCGGTGGCGAATCTCGAAGAAATGCGCGGTGATGAACGCTTCGCGAGGCTAGCGAAGAGTACAACGATAAAGCCGAATCTGTCGCTGCACGACTCGATCCAGTTGCGACCCGAAGAGGCGGCAGAAGTACTCGCGTACTCGGACTATTTGGAGTTCGCTTACTCGCATGAATTTTCGGGTCTACTGGGGCGGTATACGAAGCCTTGCTTTGTGCATCTGTGCGAGAAACTATCGAGAGGATTTTTCCGGCGGTGGGCTCTCGATCCTTTCCGGAAACTGATACGGCATCGGCTTTCGATTCGATGCTGTTCTATGATTCTCGAGAACCTGACGAACTTGGATTTGTATCGTATTTGCTTGGCAACTCTGGGCCAAGGCAACGAAGACAGCGAAGAAAATGTAATACAATGCACTAGCGAAAGGCCTGCGGGGCCTGAAAAAGCTCCGAGAAAGCTATAAATGTTATGGTAAAGATTATGAAAGTGTATAGAAGCGTCAAAAAAAGTCACGGTAATTAATTCCGTATTTGTAACTTTTTTTTCGTGTCTGGTATTTTGCAATGTTGCAGATTTTCCATATCATTGGAATGAATAAATTTAAAAATAAAATCGAATTACTTAATTTACTTGAATTTTGATGTTTTTTTTTTCATCGATCCTATATAATTCAGTCTGCTTGTATTAGGACGGTTCATTTATGAAAAAATTTTTTGTATATCTAACGAACCTAATGGAATCAGAATGATAATAGTTTTAAAGTAAGTTTTCTAATTTGAAAAATTCGAAAAATTTGTTCTTGGAACAATTTCTTAATAATTTACTTTGAAAAATTCACGAAGATGAGACCATATAGTAATAAGAATTTGGGAAATTACGCTTCATTCAATTCAATTTATTAATAAATTTAATATATCCATGTGAGCAATACCGAGGTTGCTAAACCGGGCCAATATTACTTTTACTATGGTAACCTAATATCTGGAAGCCAATGTTTTTTTGACATCAAAACATTATCAAATTGATGAGGTTACCCCGACTTAGGTTATCGACATTGTTTTGACTCTGGGCCAATATTGACAAATATGACTTCAAAAAGCAATTATAAGTATGTCAAAAAATCTCGATATTTGAAGAAACGTCGTGAAATTCTCTTCGATAGCTCTTCCTGTGCCTCAAAAATTTGTTCAACGTCTAAAGAAGATATTGCAGAGTGTTTGTTAAATAAAGAAAACCAATCATCAAATTTAAATGTCACTTCAGAGCTGAATGAAAAATCATTGTAAGTTTAATAAAAGTATGTTTTTTTCAAATTTATTTTCTTATTGTTGAATGAATTGCCTATATAATTTGTTTATTAAGCTTTCAAATAAATAAGATAATTTATCAAAAGAAAAAATATTATTTATTAATACTAATACAGCACGCAAAAAATTATATGATTTGAAAATATAAGACAGGCAGCCAATAACAAAACAATGCTCGATGCCATTGGTTGGTTTTCCCTTATCAATTGAACATTTTTTAAATACCAATATAGCATTGGTTGCCAATATTGGCAGCCGAACTGCAAACACTGAATCAACATTGGCCCGTGTTAGCATGCTCACATTCACTTAATTTTTTTACATAATTGTATGACGTAGTATCATGCTTCGATAATACATTTTTTCATCAAGAACAAAGGTGACTTTTAAAATATTTATATAACCAAACAATATACATCTGTTTGGTGAATTTGATAGATATATAATGTCAAACGATGGTCATTCCTCTAAAAAAGTCCACTGTATAATAATATTCCCCAATGCATTATCATCTAAAAATTCTATGATCCTCAACGTTGGAATGAATGGTAAATTCCAATAAGGGAGCGAAGTCAAATAGTCAGCAATGAAGAACTCGCTGCGACGCCTCATGAAAATATTACCGATGTGACGGTTGACAATTAGACTTAGAAGTGGGAAGCCAAGAAGCTCCGGTGGTTCGCCGTTCCACATTAATTCGTGACCTTTACTGCGAGCTACACGACCAATTCTGAAGTAGGAGACATTCCTGATTGCCATCGTGTGTCGCAATGACTCCAGTTCGTCTTCGTAAGATACGTCCAATACTTCGTGATTTTCAATTTCCGGCATCTTATCTGACCTCACGAAGATTGTTCTCTGTTCGAGGCATATTTGTGATTCTTGCGATAGACCTTGTCTGTCTCGTTCTTCAACAAACACTTCTTGTCGAATTTGATCGAAAATTCTAGTGTTGCGATCTTGTTAATGCGTGAAAACAAAAATAAAATTAATTTCGAGTAAATTAGAATCAAAATGTAGGTAATTTTTTGCCCAAAAATTTACGTGAAATCTCGCCCGTGATCGTGACAAATGGATAAAAAAAATGATTTTTTAGATTTGTTTAGTCCAGATGTTATTTGAGATCTGATAATGTCATTAATTTTATCGAAGATCTTAGATAGGATTTCATGTAATATCTAGACTAAAAGAATCTAAAAAATCATTTTTATCCTCGCTTATATTTCTAGCTTCGAGAAACAAGATTATTTCTTGTTAAAATTTTTTTTATAATGTTACTAATTTGAAGCTAAAAAACCATAGCTGCTACCCGTTAGAAATATACAATTTTTTTCGACAATAACTCCCCTTGAATACTTTAATTTGCTATAAAACGAAATGACTCACCAAACTTTATCCAGCATTTCAGAAACCTGAGCTGCTGGGCCATAAGCATGTGATACTGTCGATTGACTATTTCATTATTCCTCGTGAGGAATTCGTGGCTGGTGATAGCCCTCATCATACGGTCTATGACAAATGAAAAGGGAAATGTCCTTGTCATATGCTCTTCGAAGTTGCATTGGTAAGCGAAATTAAAGAGAGCTCCATTATTCAAAAGACCCGGCAGCCATGCGCCGTGTCGTAGTAGAGCTTTAGTCAGTTCTATATCCCACTGAAGCAGTGCTAGCTGCAGCGCGGTCTTTCCGGATCTACTTCGGTCCTCGATTCTTGCGCCTCTTTTGACAAGCAAGTCAACGATGGGCTCCACTGATCTGTGCAGGGCACACCGGTGATCGACTAAAACGAGTTGCCGTGGACAATCGCAGACCCGAGATCTCGCCAGAATGTGCAGAGGAGTCAACCCCGAGTCCCGGTCCAGCTGATTCGGATTGGCGCCGCTGTCCAACAGCAGTTGCACGACGTCGGCGTGCCTATTTCGTGCAGCCAAGTGCAAAGGCCCGAACCGAAAAGTATTGATGTTGATATCAACAAATTCAATAAATCGTCGCACCGCGGGGACGTGGCCGCAGAAGCAGGCCGCGTGGAAGTATGTAAAACCAGTATCATCGGCGTAGTTCGGCACCAACTCTCTGGAAATTGCATCGTTTACGAAGTAGACGATGAGCGGCCGTATAGATGTTTCTTTATGACAAAGCTCCAACTTCCAAGAGATTAAATCACTCATTCGGTGAACTAACGAATCTCCATCTCCGACTCTCATCAGATGACAATTCCGGTTTAAGTCTTCATGGACAAATCTGACAGTGAACAAGTGACCTAATGCTATTCCAAAATGTAGGAATTCTTCGATGTTAGCTACCACTTGCAGCTCTTCGAGAGCCAATTTAAACACTTGTTTATTTTTTTCATTCAATTGATCCAGAAGTTTGGTGACCAAACAAAATACTCGATAAAGTTCATATTTTCGAGTAGACACTTGTTCAATCTCACTTAGATAAACTTGCAACATTGTCAAGCACGTTCTGACGTTTGGTTCCTGGACGATGTTCAATGCTACGGTATACGTTCTATCCTCCATATTTTACAATTTAGAGCTAAATTTTTGATTTATTTTAAAATTGTTAACCGTTAACTGAACGTCGTGTTACAGAATAAACTACGTTTTAGGAAGTAATATATTTTTCGCTAATACTGAGTGAGATGATCGCTTATATTCGACAAGAGAAGGGTAAGTTATAAATTTGTTTACTTTCGAGATCATAATAATACTATGATTTTCACGAAGCCATGAGTCTCTGTACTAAATAAACAAGCATTATTACATTAGATGAAATAATTAGTGGTCTGTGGGTACTTGTGTTACACATGAAGTTTATTTACCGTATCAAACGCAGACACAATTTTGAGATCAATAACACAGTCGTCTTTACATACGCGTCGGTGCCTATAGTAGCCATTAGATGTCGTATGCCAATTTGCGTAAACGATTCAGTCGAGCCGCCCTTATATAAAGTTCGATATCTTGGAATCTCGTCAACCTACCTTAGCTATAAGATTTATCCTAGTTTTTAAGATCTATCTCTATGGTGGCGGGTACATCTCTCTTAATTTCTTCAGACTGCTGAACAGTTTGATGAAGTTTCTATCTTTTCTTTTTTTTGGAGGGTCGCGCAAGCGACCCATAAGTCAAATCGAAAAATAAATTCGCACGCTTGCGCGGCGTATAGAGCTTACAACGAGGGAAATTAAAAGTTTCCTTTTGTTGTATCGTTCGCGCGAAATGATTGAGGAATTGATCAATCGGTCGTTTACTGAGAATTTGACAGATTTAACTAGATTAAAAATTCAAAACACGAGTTACAACATTTAAACTCTAAAAATACGAGAAAGATAATAAAAAGAATATTCCATTTTTTTTTAAAGCTTCCACAGCTTTAGAGCGATTAAAATTGTTGAATTATTTGTGAATGTATACGATCGCTCATGAAAATTCAAAAATCAGCGACTTAATACGAGTAGAAATCGGTAAAAATTGTATCATTTTTTACATTCACAATTGCTAGAGTCCTATGTATGTAATATCGTATTTTTCGAAACTTAACACGTAATTCCAATTACGACCGCGAGACGTCGCGTAGGCGTACGCGCAAACGATACAGTCGAGCTGCTTTCATATATCAAGTTCGAGAACTCATGATATTTGGATAATATCTGTGATCCCTTTTTGTTAAGAATATTTTACAAAAAAAATTACGTTATTATACAGCGTACACATGTGTGTGTACGTGTCATTATCCGAGCGTCGATGATGATCGGATCGTCGCGTCGAGCGCGCGATATATATCTGTTACCCAACCGAGCCCCATCGAGCTATATAAGCTCTCGCGTATCACACATGTGCATCGTGCGACGATGTTTATCATATTAATGTACTGTAGATACTGCTTGACACACGCACACGCATGTGTGTACGAGAGAGTTAAAAATATCCTCCGGTGTACATGAGCTGCTGATTGGCACTATTAATATACATATGTAAGCTTCGTGTAGTTATATACTGCACACGAGCTTGCAGCAGCTGATCGTTGTCTTACATGTATCAGTGCCAATCATCGTCGCGCATGTGTGTAATAGCTCTGCGCTTGTACATATAAATACATAATGGTCCATTGACCAAAGAGGCTATATATTATAATACTCGTGCTGCGGGTGGCCAACTCGTATATTGGAATCATCACCGGGTTATATTAAAATCGGTTCGCGCGTTATACAATGCGCGCTATTACATGAAAAGCTCGAAAGTGTGTATCGGTATCGTATATGTATCGAGATGCGTTGATGACATAACGGGGAAAAAAATAATTCATCCGTCGGAGCACATCTCTTGGCCGATCTATCGGCGATGTTACGAGTGTCAACATCCGATAGCCGCATATACTGTATAGGAAAAAAGTGTACGTAAGCTATCGAGCAATATGCACTTTGTTCGTCCGTCTGTGTGTGTATGGATAATGCGTGATCGGCACGCGTCAGCATAAAGCTCGCGGCGTGCATGTCGCTCGTTCGTATATCTTGGTCGCAGATGCACTGTGTAATACAAAACATTACGATACTACACCTCTTTTTTCCTCCACGATGGATCAGTTCGTGATTCGATGTAAGAACGATCGAATTTGATTTGGTTTAGATGATTTTTTTCATTAATCATATACAGTGAAATCTCTATAGTGGACACCCTTAAAACCTGGAATATTGTCGACACTATTGGAAAGAACGATTGTAGCAATACGCAATTTTCTATACGATATATGTACAATTATTTTCACTTTGACACTTGCAGGATTTACAGGCACGGGTACTCGCCATCTAGCGGCGTACTCTGGCTTTAATTACAATTGAATTTCAATACATTTATTTTAGCATCTTCAAGCCTAATCTTTAAATTCGAGTATAAAATTAAATCATTTTCGATTATTTTTGCATTAAAATTGAGGCTAAAAAATAACGTATTTGTATCAACGAGCGTGTGAGAGAAAAATTCAAAACTCGTTGTTTCGTATCTAACGTGCACCGAACCAATTGGAAACTGGAGCGTTCGTTTCTTCCGATTTCCAAGCGATCGTTTTTCATTTTTCTTTTTTTTTCATTTTTCAACGTTGATAGACAAGTACGATCGATTGTATTCACTTCTGTTTTCCTTCGACGACAAGAGACGCGTGTGTTGTGCAAGCGTTCAAACTTGTGTGCACGAATTCCTCAAACGATAACGTCGAAAGTATTATGTGGGCACGCACGTATATATACATACACAGACAGTACGAGAGAGCGCGTGCGGTAACTTCACGCACTTGTCTCGTGCCCGCGCCGACTCTCCGGCTTCGTTCGAAACTCACGTGCGTGTATCATTTTGGTACTCGGTCATTTACATCGTTATTTTTAGACAATTTTTGGGAAGCAAAAATAAAACTCTCGAGAGTTAACGGTCGAACAATTGTTTCTTCGCGATCGTATACATTATTATTTTAGCCTCGGATGATATCCGCTACATTCATTACTTTCGAATATATTTTATTCGAAAAACACTTCGCGCTCGAGTTGCCGTCGACGAGCTGTAATGTCGATGTAATCTTGTCAACGCCGAATCGACTAGAAAAGTATTTTTTACACGCGGGAAATCCGCAGGGATGTATGATGTTTTTCATCCTTCGTCTCTTTGTCTTGAAATTTTCCGTCATCGCGGAGAGAATGTGTTTCGAAGCTACCAGATAAAAGTGTGGCATTGCGCGCATTTTTTTTCTCTCTCTCTCTCCTTTAATTGTGACTAATTAAAATGCAAAACGCATGAGTTGGTGTAGAAAAATCAAGGCGAAAATGTGTTTCTAATAATTTTCTTGAAAGTAATTTAATCGATGGAAATTCATTCGCCCATTGGCTTAACGAGAAATTGATATCATCTTTGAACATTTTTTTCCAAAAAAAAACGATCGCAACAACAATAAGAAACTCGGAATAATAAACTCTTATTCAAAGACGATCTTTCGTAATGTCACGTGTAAAAAGAATTTTCCAAGATTAGAGACTCTGGTAGTATACGCACGCGGACTTGTCAAGCTTTTCATTCGAAGTTTCGATAAGGTATAAATTAATAAAAATATAATTCTGAAAATGGGACGAGGTGCATAACCTTCGCTCGAGGAGCGACAAAACTTCATTTTTTTACTTTTCGTCAACTCTCGCTCTTGCCGTTCCACGACCTTGTTTACTACCACAGATCATATGTACATACACGTGTCGTATATGATTTATACATGCCAATAAAAACAATGTTAATATAATGTTTGTGTCGAAGCGCTTCAAGGTTCACAACCCCTTCTTCGTGCTTGCACGGCATCATGGTGTGTTGCTGCCGAAGGTGTACATGATTATTATAGTACGAAACGCGTATATCTCTCACGGAGAAATGAATTTTTTCACGTGCCAGGCGAACTACATTGCGAAACATCGCATGCATGCACGGCGTGCATATATGCTGTAGCAGCAGCCAAGCGCCGAAGAACTGTTAATATTCTAAATATAAATATCCTTCAGACAGGCCTATAATAATTGCCAATCCTGTCCATTTCATAAAACCATAATAATTTCCTCCGAGACTCGTTATGTGGTCTTTCTAAACACACGGCTCCCGAGAGAGAGAGAGAGAGAACATACATCATCTGGCCATTATCATCTATGACAGCTCTCGACTCCGAGAGTGAACGTTGTCGTCGTCGTCGTCGTCGTCGTCTATAGGTGGGCATAAAGTAGCCTCGTTACATTCTTCTTTTGCGCCTCGAGTTGTCTCGAGGCTGAAGCGGCGATATAATAACCACGACGTTGTTATGGAGTAAAAAGAGAAAAAAAAAAATGATTGGCAATGTATACAAGTTTCTATAGGTATTTAAAGAGCCACGCATGTGTGCGTCTTCCAAGTAACCTTCGTCGCGTCAACGACGAACTAGTTCAACGCATAATGCTACGCAAAGTGCGCAAATATGTACACACTCGCGTCTGCGTGCGAGAAGAAGAGATGCGTCGACGAGTGCAGTGTCCTCGCGCGCGCGCGGCGCTCTTTACGTTAATTGTATTATCTCTCTCTCGCACGCTCGAGGCATTCTTACCGCATGATGAGAGATTCGCTCTGTCTCTTCTTCTGTTCTTACGTGTGTGCGCATCAGGAATCGAAGAACGAAGAAGAACGAAGAAGAAGTCGCGACCCGCGAAGTATTATGCGCTTTTGTACAAATTCTTATTCTCATTATTATTATTAGTTACGCGCGCGCGCGAGAAGGAGACGCGATAACGCCAAGTGCAATTTCGACACGTTCCGGCGTGTGTACAATACAATACTCTACACGGCAATATATGGATAACACAACGACGCAGCAGCGAAGCAGCAAGGATCAAGTACGCGAACGAAGATGATCGAGGAGGAATCACTCGCCGATGAGCATTCCGTCAGCAGAGTTTTACGCGCGCGTTTGCATCTCTCTGCGATTACGTCTTTCAATTATTAATATAAAAAATTATAATAATTCGATCGTTTTGCATTTTTGAATACCGCGTTCGCGCATCGACGAATTATTAGCCCTTGTGTGTGCGTCGATACATGACTGTCAAAACAGTTCTGAAAACTTCTTTGACTATAAATACGACATAGAATTTCGACGATGAGACTCGGGCACGGGTTGCCACTGCAGCTGCTGCTGTTGCTGCTGTCTCTGCAACTAGCCTGGCTGCCTTGCGCCGTCGGGGCCGGCAAGTCCCAGTCGCCGAAAGTCAAGCTGATCGTGGGCGACGACAGCCGCGAGTGCAGCAAATCTCTCAGGGATCTCTACTGGGACTTTTGCTCCCGCAAGAAGAGATCGTCGTCGGGCCTGCTGATCGACGATCCTGCTGCTGCCGCCGCCGCCGTAGCCGCAGTCACCGCCGCCGAGGAGGCGCGTTCCGCAAGTACGACCACGATTATTATAATATGGTGTTGTATCGTTTAAATCTGTGCGCGTGTCAACGCCGGGGATATTTTTTTTCTCGTATATATGGTCAAATCTCAAAATAAAATTCCGTTTCGTTAACAAAAAAAGGTGAAATTTTTTTTGCGTGCCCAGCGGCCCGGACCCCCGCAAATTGTTCATATAGGACCTCCAGAAGTGAAAAAAAACGCGTGAACATGAAATTTGAAAATAGTTAATTTTTTTTGGGGCACTTTTGTGTTTTAGACGCCGAAAAGTCATCTTTTCACGCAAATACGACTTATTACTCGATTTCCAAGTCGTTGAAAAAGTATCAAAACTCATCGAAAAAATTTAACTGACTACTTTCGGAAACGGAATTTTATTTTGAGATTTGACCATATATACATTGTTGTCTGCCATATGATTGCTGCTTTCAGTCAAACCGTGCTTTGACTTATACAATAACTTTTACTTTGCCACTTGTGGATTTACAGATATAGGTACTCGCCATCTAGTGGCGGAGGCTCAAAGTGTTATTATTTCATTTAAAATGTTTGAATGCTGGTCTAAATTTTTTGGAACAATTAAATTGATATTTTGTGTAAATTATTTTAAATTACCATTTTTTGGTCAAGCAGGTGCGCTCTTAAGCTATTCATGTAAGATGCAAAAATATTTTTGCATTATCGCTTGTTTACAGAAAAGAAATCGTTATGACGTGACACCAATGAATACCACTTATGAGATAATTCTTAATAATACAAAAGCTATGATATTAATAAACTAATGAAATGCTCCGATTTTATGCTTTATAAATTTTTTTGTGACATTCGACTCCAATTTGTATTTAAGAGAGCAGTTGATAATAAAAAAAGTAGTTCAACAAACTTAATTTGTTTTTCTTACTTGCTTTCAGCAGGCATAATCACAGAGACACAAATAAGCAGGATAAGAAGAACATCTGTAAGCGACATGTTAAAAATAATCAATCCGATCCACGCTCGACTTCATCAAGAGGCTGATACTCGTAAAACCGTAACTCATGCTGACGTCCCATCAGCGGCCGCTGATATTGTAATTCAAGATGATTATGAATCATCTTCAGAAGCTCGTTACTTACCTGAGGTATATACACACTTCACTTATCAATTATAAATTTTTCGAATTTTATCCCTGATTTATAACTTCAATTGTTCGAAATTTTGTTTTGAAAATCAACGGATATTATCAGTACCGAGAAGTTGAATTAATTACAATTAGACTTGATTATCGAAATGATTGGGTATATTGGCTGGGTGCCTGGGAGTCGGATAACACGCCCTCGGACAACTCGTCCCGAGTCAAGACGACCCCGACAACTCACCCAGCGAGATCTCAATCTCAAAAAAAATTTTTTTACCGTTGCTATGTGCGTCTGTCAGTCTATATGAGTATAATCTGTGATAGTACATTTTCCTTACTCTATCGCTACTTCTATCACTTTCACTTTCTAATTTTGGTTTTTTATATATTATCGTATTGTTACATTATCGTGGTGTACATCGTGCTTAGGAAATCATTCATAGATGTATTATTTGGTGTTTAATAATTGTGATTGATCATGTTGTACGAATTGTATTTTGTACTTAATAATTTGGCGTTATAACACCCCCTTAATAAATGTGTTTTTTACCGTCTTTTTTGCGTATTTTTTTCGAGGTCGAATTGTCGTATGTCGAGTTTTCCGAGGGCGCGATATCGGTAACCCAGGGGCCTTGATTGACGTTATAAAATGCAAAATATCAAATTCCTATTCAAAATTGCAACTATTTACAGGAAAGTCACAGTCACATCGGCTTTGGTTCAAGCTTCATGACTCACGAGGATCTTTGGATACACGAGCAGGTCACCGAATTTTTCGAAGAATTAAATCGCAATGCTCGTTCTGCAGAACACGCAGCTGCCTATCAATGCTGCAAAAATTTAGAAAACTGCAAAAAGAAACCGGAACTATATAAATATTTATGTTGATAGTGATTACAAAAAATTCATCATCACGACACTATTTTTCATACTTTTCGCCGCTGTAAATATCCAAAGTCACTACCATCGTCTACGTTAAATTTTTTATTTAAGATATGTAGAAATGAGAGTATTTGAAGAATTTTATATGTTATATAATTTTATCGTAATTATATAACATAAAAATTCATTGTATTATTTTAGATTAGATATTTTTTCTCATGAAAACGTCATGATAGCTGAATTTTTTTGATGAATTGATTAAATAGAGATTAATTCTTGAAAATATGTTTGATTGTTATGCGATTCATTTTTGAAGTTTTATAGTTTTATTTTTGTAGAGAACTTAATTATTAATGTGTAAATTGAATGAGTATTAACAGTTTTAAATATTTGTGTAAAATTATTCACTTATATCCAAATAAAGAAATTTTATTTAAAAAACTAGTTGTATTTTAAATTATTTTTACTTTTATGCTACAACCATTGATACAAAAGTTTTTTCAAGCTTGAATGAAGGAAAGTAAAAAAAAACTATTATTTTTTGCTTATAAGCTTGAATTATTTTAAAAACAATTGATTTGAAAACATTGTAATGTTTTCGTAAAATAAATATATACACTGTCTACAAGAAACTGATGATTAACAAACAAATTATTGACATTTTCACAACTTTAATTAGTAAAAGTTAATAAGATTATGTTTGAATATAATCAACTTTCATTTTATTTAATAATTCCTTCCGAAGTAAGTAGTTTCGAAGTAAGTAGTTTTATTGGAATAAATTAAGCTCAATTTAAATGAAATAGATTTTGAATTGCGATTTAAATGCCCTATAAATAAAAAAACTGTGATAATAATAACATAAAAAAATTATTATATGTTTTATGTAATTTATATAACTGACAATGTTAATGCTTTTTAAACAAAAAGAGAGTTAGACTTTGCTTTGGAAATAAGTACCGCAATAAATTTCGTAAAAGCAGAGTTTCACACTTAGTATACATGTAATGTAATGTTATACAACAGCGGTATAAATTTTGTTTTATCAGTATTAATACAGAATAACAATGGGAGAACTGCTCATTCAAAAAAGTGATTTCATTAATTTTATTCATTTGCGATTCTAAAAAATTAAAGGATCTATAAAAATTAACGGTTTCCGTGAATAAGTAGACATTTCGATGCAGTATTTTAATTACAATAACACACGATTCTTAATTTCTCAACAATTTTGTCACATCAATCAAAATTTGATGTGAATATTTTAATATGGTATTTCATTGTCAACAAATTACTGGCATGTCCGATCAAATAAAGTTCCGATTTATAAACATAGGATACGTATCGGTTCGTCATTATTGATTCGTATTTTAAAGTATTACCAAATAATCAAAGTGAAATACGGTTTTATTAAATAATGAATACTCTAAAATAATTAAAATTAAAAAATTGAATTTATTAGATTCCATTCTACGTATTCCACCAGTAAAAACTGGTGAAAATCAAAACATATTTACAAAACATATTATATAAAACGCATATAAAGCTGTACAAAGCTTAATAGTAGGAATGACACACCAGTTAGGGTGTTTATTTTGTTTTTCATAATAAGTATTTACAATTCTCCTAAAAAGTCGTTAATTAGTCGTTCTAAATGACAATGTTTACATACAAAAATTCGCTGATTTTATACAATGATTTTTTTTTATTCACAAAAGATGCACCAAGCATCTTATTAGATAATAATTAATACTAATGAGATCATCAGTTGTTTCAAGGCGCAGCTAATATTCTCTTGTGTGTGCTGGTGCCATATCAACATATATTTTTCAAATATAATAACAGCATTAAATGTAACAATATCAACAATGAAGATTAACTTTCCTTACAATACAATCGCCTTTAAACTTTTTTCGTTTATCAAAGTTATTAATTGTATGTACACTTTGCACTATAGTATCAAAGCTTAATAAGCCATCACTTTTCATCACAATCGTTTATGTAGTGCATTTTTTGAACATTTTTTAAAAGAAAACTATAAACATTTGACCTAAATAGATCGACTATTTATTTACAAAAACAATACAATAAACTTCGATACATTCGAACAATCAACATCACATTCAAGTCGTCGCAGTAGCATTTATCGAAAGAACCGAACAATCTTTATTATTTGTTGCACATTCGCCAATCGCGCATCTTTGTATACTTACAAAATACATGTATTTATATTATTTTTATCTTTTTTGAAGCAGAAAAAGTTGAATTTCAGTGTATACGATTATTTATCGGAGTTTTTTCCCCTTTGATTTATAAAAAAAAAAAAAAAAAAAAAAATGCACGACCCACAAAGCGACTTTGCTACTACGGACTTTCCTCGTTGCTATCACAAAAAGAGCATTTTTTCGAATACCGTTTCACGTACATTCACACATGCATTCGTTGATCGTTTCATAATTTGATATAAACTGTACATGTTCGCTCGAATGAGTTTGCACTCATGATACCGCACACAGTTGCAGCACAGTTTATTACATTGAAATTTAATAATGTTATTTAAATTAGAAATTATATATAGTCGTATTAAAAAAATTTTGCGAGCTAATAACACGATTTTTTTTTCCTAATTAAAAACTAAATCACTATCAATCTCACTCTCAGTTATCCTCTTAAGAGTTTTGTCTAGAATTCGAAGTCAAACAAAATAACGATGAATTTTTCGTTAAATCGTCATCGACTTCGACTTTCTCGTTGCTCCTTTTCAATTATCAGTCAGGTGGGTTCGTTGATGATGAAGTGACTCATTTTCAGTTAACCAGTTAGATTAAACCCACAATTTTCTTCACTAATGAGTATCACACTTTCGATTTTTTTTTATCTATCCAAATGCACTGACGTGCATTTAATTGATTGATGTTCAGCTTTAGAGCCTCAGGAACTGCAAAATAATTTATAACAGTTAGAAAATTTGTTCAACTCTGTAGGAGTGAAGTTAGATTTTATTCCACGAAAAAGTTTTGAATTTAATATATTGTTATTACGCGTTCGATGACAATAAAAAGCATTAGAATTTTTAATTTTACATATAGGATCGCTAGTAATATAGTTTAGACTTGATGCACGATTTATTAGAAGGAATATTAAAAACTTTACGTGTTAACTTTTTTTGTAACTGTTTTGTAAATTGATTAGAATTACAGGCTTTTAGACAACCGAATGAGCGTCAAAAATTTATCAAATTAAATATCGGTATACCATCGGTAATGAAAATTAAGGATATAAAAAACAGCGTATAATTACCATTACAAAGGTCCTCGCGTAAAACAAAGGATTGTCCCGGTGATATCCCCGCGTCGCCTAGCCGGTGGTGTTGGTGGTGATGGGCGGCCGCCACTCTCGTCGTGACACAGACACGCACACGTTTTTGCGCGCCACGTAAGAAGAGCCGCTCTGCCGCACGCGACAACAACCACCGTACCTCCGTACAACGACGACACGGGGTAACACGCGTCCTCCTCCTCGCGGGGCCTCTTCATCTCTTCGATTGGGCCCCCCCGGCTTGCTGTTGTTCGCCGTCCTTCTTGTCCTTGCGCGGCTTGCAGTACTGCTCCATCTGCTGTATGCTGCAGGCGTTGTAGCAGCACTCCTCGACGAGGCCGGGCCCCGTAGCGTGGCGTATCTCCTCCTCGTCGCTGCTGCTGAAGGGCTCGTTGTAGCCGCGATCCTTGCACAGCAGATAGAGCGCGTCGCTGAGGGAGCGCGAGCACAGCCTCACCGAGCGCCTCGGCAGGCGGCGATGCAGCGAGAACGCCTCGACGCCGCCGCCGCCGCTGGGAGCTGGCAGGAGCGCGCTGCCGATCAGCAGCATCAGCGCGAAGAGCACGAGCGTCATCCGGATCGTTGCCATCGTTGCGAATTGTATTCTTCTTCTTTTATGATTAATTACAAAAAAAACAACTGTTACACACTTCTACTTAGAGGCACTTAATTTTTTTCTTTCTTGGATGGCCCGTGAGTTAACAAAATTACTGAACGGGATGAACGATCGCGCGAGACCGGCTCGACTCTCACTTCAACTGCCTCACGGATCGGCGGCGCGCACACTTTTATAAGTCACCACAGGGCACAGGCAGCGCACTCGTGTTGGCTCGTGAGATCGAGATCGACTGGCTGTCCGGTCGCCAGCGCGCAGCGATTGTATAGAGCGCCTTCTGCTGCTGCTGCTCTTGAGCACACACGCACACACATACACTCGCACACAGTCGCACACACGCTCTCGAGCGAGCCAAGCTCCGCCGCCGCGACTTAATAGGAGGGACTCCACACACAGACACACGTACACACGACACAGAGTATTAATAATGTTAAACGTGGTGGGTGAGACGACGACGTTTCGGACTACTACTCCACCATCGGTGGTCGATCGTCGACGTGCCTGTATTTTGTGTATGTATTATATAGCTCTGTGTGTATATATAAGCTCTCAATGTAACAAGTGGCGTGGGCCGCGCGCCGCAGTTTTGATAAAAAAAAAAAGAAGAGAAAAAAATATCGAGTCCCCGCCAACTTCGATCGTTACATGTGTAAGTGTAAGTAAGTAAGCAGCGGCTGAAGCAGACGAAAGAAACTAGTTTGCCTGACGCTGAAGTGAAATAACCGATCAACACCAGTAGCAGGGCGCCACTTCTCTCTCTCTCTCTCTCTTCACGCTTATCACTCAGATATAGTTATTTGCTTGCCTCACCCACACCACGCACTTTCTTTCTCTCGCCTCTCGTGTCTCTTTCTTTTTATCTTGAAATGCAATACGAGCCGTGTCTGTACAGTCCCTAGACTGCCTGCCATATAATAATCGATGCGGCAGGCGTGTCATATTACCTGCTGCAACCAATAACGATCGCGAAACGATCGTCGCGAGCTTTTCGCCGATGGCCCTCCCTCGCGTATCAAACGTACAAAATTTTTCATCTTACTTCTCTCTCGGTTCGTTCACGCGCTGTTTGTATCGATTATAACGAAAGCCATTAATTACGGTTGTTTGCGCTACTGTTTTACGCTCGGATACCGGGAATTCGACGAGAATCGAAAAAAAAAAAATTATAATTTTTATGCCCGAGTCTTACCGGTTTTGGGCATTTTATCGAGTGTATATATACGGGCGTTCGATTTTTGCGGTTTATTTCAGGTGTTGTACGGTGCGTGCGCGCGTCGCGATGCTTATTAAATCCTCTTATGGAAAATATCTCGCTCCGATCCGTGATTTAAAAGAATAACAACTTTTATGGGTGTTCGAGCGAGTATAAAAATGAAGCTTATAATTTTTTCTTAATTTTTTTTTCTGTATATTTAACTCGAACATTTATTTTGTAACACGTGATAAATCAATGGCATGATTGTACACATTCGAATGGAATTTGGTGGTCCTTTATGCGCGATACAATATATAAATTTTTTAATAAGCATGCGTACTCGTGCCGTTCAAATGGAATTTTTACACGCGCGCGCGCACAAAAACTATATAAAGAGTTACCACGCGCCCCGGGTAAACATTTCCTTTATATAAATTCATTTATTTCAGTAAATCTCTCGTCAAATAATTGCGCAATAAATAACTCATAAACCAGTTCCTCCAGAAGGTATTTTATATACATTTGGTGTGTATAATGTTCGATACCCGAAATATTTTAATTTTATAGGTATACACACATCGGATCGTTTTCGTAAATAACTCGATCCGCCATCCTTTGTTTTCTATGTAAACAAGGTTTTCCTGAATCACAGAGCGAAATTACCCACCGCACAATTCGCGCGTGGACTCGTTCGTGTTATTTTAGAAACGAGACGCGACGATGAGATTTTTAACGTAGGCTCGACGTTTTCACGAAAAATTGTTGTTCGCGCGCACGTGAATTATTAAAAATTGTATATATACGTCTGTTTACCGCGCGCGCGTGGAATTCTAGTCGCGCGCAAGTAAATATTTTCGACGGAGAGAACAGTTCTTCGATGGAAAGATTTTCCATAATAACACACACACGACCTATTTTGATTTTTCGGTCGGTACGGGTTTTCGCGCCTGCGACGGTCGCACACCTTCTCTCTCTCCGCCAGGCGCCAGGTGTATATAACTTTCTAAGATTAATACATGCATACAAATACATTACAAATGTTGGCTTACGGCTTACGAGCTGCATCGAGAATCCGTTTAATTACATGTCACCCTCTCTCTCTCCGACTTTATTTTCTCTCTTACTTCTCGCAGCAGTAGCAGCAGTTTTATCTCGTATATAGCGCTGAATATTATAATATTAAGCTCTCGATACATAAAACATCGTGTATGTACGTATACGGCCCTCGCAACCTCTATTTCAACGATGATAGCGATCCGAACCGAGCTCGATCGACCTAATTTTCGCGCGTGCGTTTTGCTTTGACTTATTGACGATGTGGATCGCGTATATATGCGTGCGTCAACTTTCAAAGCTCGGCTCTATACGATACATGTATAGGCAAAAAACATAATAGACGTCTCGTTATCGAATCTTTTCGCGCTCGCGCGCGCGAAATCAGGTACACCGAGTGCAGCTGCTGCGCGCAATTTTTGTAAGCCGATCAGCTCGAAGTGACGCAGTTTTCTGCCGACTTCGAATTAGATCAAAGACAATGAGCGCGCGTTAATGTGAATCATTACGAAAAAAGAAAAAGAAGAAGAAGAAAATGCGCTCGCGTTTATACCTGCGTCAGTGATACCGAGCGAAATGCTTGCTTCACACAAATGCACACGTATATGACGACGACGACGATGATATTTAATAAATGTGTGTGCACATATTAACAGTGGATACTTCAAGGCTTCTCTTGCGCAAGTCGCGAAGCTAACTGACGTGTGTGTGTGTAGTATAGCATGCGTATTATACGCGACGTGTCTCGTCGTCGCTGCTCCTCGAGAGAGATCCTGATAGCATTGCACCGTGCTCGCGCGCGCGCGCCTTTTTCCAGACATGTCATTTTATTTACGTTAATATAATATACGTATATAATAAAGCACTTATCGATTCTGCTCTTTCTTTTGCACGAACCATTTTTATCGCTCGCTTTTTTCCATAAATGTGTGGCTCTTTTTTTCTTTTTTCATTTGAGTCGTTAATACGTGATTAAATATAGCTCGCGAACAACGATCGCAAGTATTCAATCATAAACTATTGTTTCATTTGTTTTTGGTTTGTTCTTCATGATCAATCGCTTATTGACTCGATTGATAAAAAATGTTCTTAATTATAATAACCGCTGGCTTATTGTGATTTTATCTAGCTCGAGTCAACTGTATAAATCAATATATATAGCCAATGATAAAATTTTTCGACAAGTGTTTAATTAGTAAATTTATTTTTTGATAATCTAGAATTGATTAATTTAATTAAAATAATAAGGTATATCAAAGGTGATCAATTTCGCGTTCCCATTTCATTATCGAACGACCATTTCTTTTTTGAAATATATAATATACACTGTAGCCGGCATAGTGCAACATTCGCATCAATTTTCCCTTTTATCGGCAATGAGATGTCGTGAAAAATTTTCCACTACATTTGTACATATAAAATTCATATTACAATATATACGTACGTCCGTTTCGGCCAATGCTACGCACACGATGCGAAATCTGAAAATAGCTTGGAATAAAAAAAGGAGAGACGGATAATGACAGACATGCGTGGAGAGATACAGATATTGGCTTTAATAGACACATCCGCGAAACGCATCGATACAAAAATCCTCGCCGATGCGCGCGATTCATCTTCGCGGGGCGAAACGATCCATAATTGCCCGCCGCAGCAGTTCGACACGTGTTTTCTTTGCGCCCGAGAGCGAGAGTTTTGGCATACTTTCCGTTATCTGTTTGTTAGAGAGACTTCGGCTGCTGCTGCTCTCTTCGTAATCGAATTTGATGAGTATATAGGCGCTTGTGCAATGTATCTCTCTCTTTCTAGCTCGGCGGCGGCGGCGGGCAAATACATATTACATACATTGTTAACCCGGTAATGCCTCCGCGCTCTCGTTCGTCTATAACAACAAGCCGGGCGAGCCATAAAAAATCGGCGCATATATATACGAGTCAATGTTCATAACTATATAATCGAGACGAGATGATGATGCGCGAGAGGATCATCGATTCTACCCATTATGTAACGGAAATTCGAGCTTTGACAAAAATAACATGTATTATATCGACGAGCGAGCGAGTGTGTATAGTATAGAGCGAATGTCGAAATTATGAAAGAGGAAATAACATGCCAAATATATAATGTTTCCACGGCGTATTATATATTATTTCATATATATTAAAATGTATATTTATAAACCAATCGCATTTCAACCAGAGAGAGAGAGAAAGAGAGAAAGAGAGGCTGCGTGCGAGTGTCAAACTATAAAAACAACTGATTAGCGAGCATGGGCACTGTAAGCCGCTGCCGAGAGAATGAGTCGTCGCGAATTTGATATGCCGATAAGAAGCTTATATACGTTCGGGCAAAAATAAATGCCTATACGTACGCGAGCTTATTCCATGTACTCCATTTATCGTCGCGAATTTTTTTTTTTGCTGCTGCTACTGCTGCTGCTCGTCCACCATTAATAACTTCACTCACGCGGGGTGCTGACTTGATCGAGTCAAGAGAGACACCGAAGAGAGACTTGAATGATTTTGCGCGCTCGTTATCGCCGATATGTATCCGAGGCTATGTGTAGTGTGTGCCGCAACGCAGCAGCAGCAGCAGCAGCATTAGAGAGGCTTGTAAACATTGACAATACATTCGATCCATTATTATTAGATGAAAACTTTTAGGCCTGCTTTAGCCGAGAGAGCTATACGAGATAGTCGAAACAAAGGAGCTTCCATTTCAGTGTCATTTGTTGCAACGATCGCCGATTGTAATGTTTCTCGCGATCGTCTCGCGCGCGCGTCCACGAATTTACGAACTTTTGATTTAGACCGTTATATCGGTTTTATTAATCAAAGCGTTCTCAAAAACATCAATAAGTTTTCTTATTTTTTTGCTTTTTTTCACATCTGTTGGCGAGAATTAGAGAATCTTTCTGAAGATTTTGCTCCGTAGCAGGAGTGTCTACCTCAAAAACTCTATT